TATCCTAGAATCAAGTATAAACTAATTAAAATTGTGATGATGATCAAAATATTATGTATTTGAGTTTGTGGATTATTCATTCAGTTCTAAACTTAAAAAATATTTTACACTATTTATTATTAATTTTTAAAAGATTTTTTATTTGTAATTTTGAATAAAAATTGTAGTTATTATTTAAGTAGAAAATTGTTATATATTATCTTTGTATAGTTTAACAGACTTTTATTCAAATAAAATAATAATTTAGCCAATTATTTATATTTTTTCTATATTACTATTGATTTCAATAAAAAACTTTGTTAAAATTATATATCATAAAGTAATTTCTACTAAAATTATATCAATATTAAAAAGAATATATTTAATTAAAAGAAATAAAATTATCTTATAAAAATGAAGCATTATAATTTACAGATATCTTTTTGCATATACTTCAAGATTATTGCAGACTTTTTAGACCAGGGGCTTTGCCAACTAGACACAATCCACAAAATAAACAAAGGGAAGTATAATCATTTTCATATGTACTTCCATCATAAGGACATGCTTTATAATTTGAAAGATTTTTAAGTGTATTAACAGAGTAGATTGGCTATTCATTCAGCCAATTTTCTTTAAAATCAATTTGTATAGCATTTGTATTTTATTATAATGAAGCTTTCTCATACTATTTATTTAAATCAAATTTTTACTTTTTATGCATTTTGTAGAACTTCAGGTTTTTATGTAGTATCATTTTTCAACAATTCGATTAGTTTCTTTGCTATTGATTAGCAAGTGATAAAATTTTTTTGTTTGTAACTTATACTAAGAGCTTATCTTAATGTTAAAATTCTATGTGAAGGTTGAAGTTCAATAGTAGCCATTTTACATGCCATTTCTAAAGCATTACTTTCTTTCTTGAGTGCATCACATCTCATAGCAATCATATAATTTCTGCTTATATTGATGTATTTCTATATTTCATCTACTTGATTGATTTCAAAATCTGTTAATAATATTTTTTGTAAAACCTATTAGAAACAGTTGCTAACTTCTCCAAATTTTGCATCTGTTGTAAATTTATAACCTAAATATCAAAAGTGAAATTTACCTTATTTAATAAGTGTTTTTATTTCATTTAATCGATTTAGTTTAATTGGTAAAGTTGAGTTGCTTAAATAAGGAATTTGAGACAAAATTTAAAAACTTGTAGTATCTATTAATAATTTCAATAACTATTAATGATTATTTAAATTTATTTGTTGTTTTAAAAGCTTTATAGCAGTTTCATAATCTCCTGAAGCTAAATATTTGACAGCAATCTCTCCTTTTTATTCTAAATAAATTCCCCTTAATGCTTATTCATTTATACTTTAATCTTTTTGTTCTATTATTTTTGGTTCAAAGAATTCTTCTTCTGGTTCATCGTCTAATCCCCATTAACCTTCATTATTAATTTATTCTTCTACTTGAGATTCTTCAATTACTTATTTTTATATTGCAAAAATATCTTAAGGTACAACAGTCTCTTCTGTCACTTCAAGATTGATTATATCTTGTTCATTCATTTAATATAATGGCCATGGATCATTTTTATATTTCATAATTGGATTTGGTGGTATTAAAACTTAACTTCCACCAAGAGATTTAATCCATTCAACTGTTTCTTATTAATTTTAATCTAATTATTAACTATTTCCATTTATATGTTCTATAATTTGAGCTAATTTAGGTAGATGTTACTTAATAGATTTTAATTTCTAAATTTATGATTAATAGATATAATTGGGCTAAATGTTTTATAATTTATCTTATTTATCTCTATTACCTGTACATAAATATAAAAAGGCTAATCTATCAAATTAGTTGAGTTATTAATCACATACATCAACTAATAAATTATTTCCTTATCTTAAGGCTTCTGATCTTAATTATTCAAACAAAATAGGATCTTTGATTTCAATAGCAGCTTTATATGCTTATTCTAAATTACCAGAATCAAGTGAGAGCGAAAATTTAGCTAAAATATGATTATACTAAAAATTACCTTATTTATCTTTGACTAGTTTTAAAGCAATTGATGCCAATTTTTTAGAATATAAGTATGAGAGAACAGCTTCATTTTAATTGTTTTCAACAAATTTATAAATAGCATTGAGATCTTTATTTAGAATGGCTATTTTAAATAATGGTTCTTAAATATCTAATATTTAAGTAATAAATTAAGAAGTGTTATCAACTGCTATTAATTTTAATTTATTTTATTATTGTTCTTCTCCTTTTGCAAGATAGAGAATATTTTCAGTAGATTTTAAGACTCCTGAATCCCCATTTAATAATAAATACTTAATTTAGCTTTTGGTGGTGTAAATAATAAAATTATTGACCCATATAAAAGATTTAATGTTAATTTTTTCTTAGATTTCAATTAATTTTTAAAGTTATTTAGTAAGTATAGTTAATTATAATTTGCCTTATACAATAAGATAGGAATCATGATATTGAGCATATTTAGCATTAGAATATTCAATAGTATTTAAGACTTACTTAGCAAGAGGATCAAATAATTCTAATTAACTATTGGTACCATCTCTATAAATTAATAATTTGCCACCAGGTGCAGGGAATAATTTTGAAGATGACTTATCATCAATTAAAGAGATAGCATCAGTTTCATAATTATATAATTCTATTTAGGATTCTTAATTGATTCTTGCAATTTTATTTTTACCAATAAAGCATGCTGATTTAGAATAGAATTATTTAATTCCTGAATCACCTTTTGAAGGTTAAAATACAATAAGTAGATGTCTTTTGAATTTATTAGGTTCTTTAATAGATCGAATACATCTAATCATTAATTATGTTTTTTGAGTGTCATAAGAATTGTATTAGATAGATTCAATATTATCTTCAAGTATGTTAGGAGCTGGAGTAATGAGAGTTGAAATATCTCTAATAGTTTATGATTATCCTGAAATTAATTCAATTACTTTAAGTATTTTTTATTCAGCAATACATAGATATCTTTCATTAACAAGTAGAATAGGAACTCTATCTTTATGTAATGTAAAGACTTAGAGCATAGTATCAGAACCACAAGCAAAATAGTAATTATTAGAATGACAAGATACAATCCAATAACGATCATAATGTTTATTTTCATAAAGTGCTATTTGTTTTCTAGTAGTTGCATCCCAGATTCTAATAGTATGATCTTCAGAATCTGAGATAATTACATCACCTTTAGAATTAAATTCAGCACAACATACATTATTAGTATGTCCAGAAAGTGAATCGAATTCCCAAGCTTTATTCTCATTATATTTCCACAATTTAATATTTTTATCATCACCACTTGTAATTATTAAAGGTTCTGATTTATGAAAAGCACACCAATTAAGTTAATCTTTGTGTCCATCCATAATTGCAATAACTTGTACTTCAGCTCCAGATAATACATATTCTTAATTTTTTTTTTATGCATATCTTTATTTAAGTACTCCATAATTCCATAATCTTGCTGTTTAATCTAAAGAACATGTTACTATAAAATCTAATGTTGGATGAAAATGACATGACATTATATAATGAGTATGTCCAGTTAGAATAGCAATTGTCTATCTACTTTAATAATTCCAAACTCTTGCTGTTTAATCATCTGAACCAGATAATACCCATGGATTTATTGGATGAAATGTTACACATCTTACATAATCAAGATGTCCTTTTAGTACAAATTGACATTATTTGAAATTCCAAACTCTTACTGTATAATCATCACCTCCAGAACAGAATAAATTCAATTATGGATGAAATTAAACTGATCTAACTGCTCCTTAATGATCTTCATATGTTCCTATCCTTTTCTTTATTCGATAATCTATCAATTCTATCACGCCTGAATGTAAAGCACTTAACACCCAAGGACGATGAGGATGGAATGACACACTTTTTACTCTATCCGAATGTCTCTCAAATTTGACAAACATTTTTATTACACGTATTTATAATATAATAATATTATATACTAATATTCATTTTTATTATCTCAATCAATTATTTTTACTTCCAAATATTACAATGAATTTCTACTCTCTCAACATCATTCCCTTTTATTTAGTCATTATTTTAACATGAAAAAATTAGATACCTTCTGTTTAGAAGATAACTCAGACGATGATTCTTTAGATCAAACTCATCATATTTCCATACAAACAGAAATAAAATACAAATAAGTTAGAGATATTGCTACCAAAATTATTTTGTGTTATTCTATTGATTTTGATCTTCCAATCATTTCATTTCTACAATTTTTACAGTTTGTTAGAGTTTTGAATTCTGAAGATACTATTTAAATTGAAGCTACTAAACCTCTTCTTAAATAATTATTAAATATTCAACAATTAGAAATGATCACTAAAGATACTCATTTAAATGATATACTTAATTAAACATATTCACTCAATTAACTTAATTCAATCACTGCAAATTTTGAAAATAAATATAAACATTATCTACTTAAATCATAACCATCTAATATCTGTTAAATGACAAAAATTATTTATAATCAAAGAGAAAAAATTAAAGATAAACTTGATAAATTATTTCAAGATTAAAATTTATAGGAATTCATGTAAAAAGGATAAGATAAATTAAAAAAAGCACCACTTGAAACTTGGAAAAATAATAAAAAAGATTATGAAGAATAATAATTACCCATAGCATAAACTTTTTTAAATTTAAATAGAATTAAAAAATATCTAGATGAAAAAAAAGAATAAGAAACATATGCAACTGGTAAAATGAATAGAAAAAAAAATTAAATGATACGTATTGTAAGAAAAATCATCAAAAAAAGAAGACCAAAAACATAAAATGAAAAATTTTGTACTTAAGTTCATTCTAGAAGATTTATTAAAAGGATTTTTTAACTCTTATTATCAAGATAAGAATCCTATCCTGAAATATTTTACTGTTTAACTATTAAGTTTGAAAAGAAAACTGCTGATAAGATACAATTTACCTTGAATAATAGATTTAAAACCTATATAGAAAATGATTCATACATTCATAATTTATTAAATGAAGAAATGATTAAGAAAGGATACAGTCCTGTTAAATTAAATGGAGAATAAGTTAATTTAGAAGATTTCTTTCAATGTTTTAATTTAGATCTCTAACCTTAAGAAGTATCTGAAGCAAAAGTAGTTTATGAAATGATTGTTTAAGTTTATGAATAGAAAGAAATTCATCGACTTAGGTTATATCCAATCTTTAATTGTACTAAATATTCATTCTTAGAATAATAAATTGCATAAATTGACACCATTCATAAATATCAAACTCCTCAATTCTTAAAATTTAAATCTATAGTGGAAGATATTAAATATTATTTAGATACCAACAAAATTTAAATTGAAAAAGAAATCAAAGCCTTGGAATAAAATTAGCCTTAAACAATAGAAAAACAATAAAATAAAAAAGAAAAATTGGAAACTAAGGTTGAAAATTGAAATATATTATATTAAATATTATATTAATTATTATGGGTCAATAATAAACGTAGCCTATGAAAGCCTTATTTAATGTTGGAAGTGATAATGTATCCTAAAAATGCATATAAAATTATAGGAATTTCAAGTGAAATTAACACTCTTTTTAGGTTAGGATTCACCTCCAATTTTACCTATTGAGGCTAGAGATGTTATTAAACATGAAAAATTTCCATAACTATTCGAATTACTTATTGAGAGAATGAAACATGAAAATAATAAGGTTATTTAGAACACCTTAAAAAATTTAACAATTTTTATTCCAATATTATTGGCAGAAAATCATTAATTAATCATTTCTAATAATTCTTAAGTTGAAGTTGAAGTAATTAATAGAATTACAGTTGTAAAAGCAGATGAAGATTTAGAACCATTTGAAGCTGCTAATTTAGCTTAACCAAGAATGTTTAGAATTATAGATAATCTAATGACTTTATTATTTAAACCTGGATTTACAATATAAGGAAGAGATACATTTAATTTGGAGAATGATCCTAGATTGAAATCTTTATTAAAATAATGGCTTGATAAAGATATCAAATTGAAATTAGAAAATATTTGGAGAGGTTTAGCTACTTTAACCAAGTATCCAAATGATTAAAAATAATATTATGAAAATAGAGTCTTAGTTTTAAGTTGTTTGCTTGCCTGCTTAGAGGAATAATTATATCTATAAGAACCAAAATCAAGTTAAGCATTAAAATATTTGGCTTTTGAAGATCATGCTGAAATGTTTGCATCTCTTTGGGCAGTCATTCTATTTCATAAACATGCTTATTTTTGGTTTTAAGATAATTTATTATATCAATAAAAAACATGTAGATTTATGGCAATACTTAGTGCATAAATTTTGAATTTAATCTTCTCATTTGAATATGATGATAATAAATTTAGAAAAATTGTAATAGAAACTAACCTACTTGATTATTCTTTTGATTTGTTGGTTGAAAATATGCAACAATCCCTTATTTATGATACAAATTTCATTACAAGCAAAGCTCATGATAATAAAGGAGTCTAAGAATTCATGGGTTTGCTTTATTTCTTGTTGACTAAAAACCAGTTTGCAGATGATTATTTAAAACATCTTTCTAAATAAAGGATTATTAATTTATTTTAATTAATCTTATATTACATAGCATAATTTATGGATAATGAAGTTAATTATGAAGTTTATTAAATTTCATTAGAATTGTTAGACTTTATTTTTAATTATGAAAACATAGCAAAGATATCATAAGAAATTGTTGATATTTAATATAGAGTGAAAGTTTTGCCTATTACTTCAGGAACTTATTAAGATTTTATAATTAGTTATTACGGTCATCTTTTATTTTTAGATTTCAGAAGCAGAACCAAATTTTATGTTGAGCATTTCAAAAAGAAGAATCTAGATTATTAAAATATGGGATATATTATAAATTATCACTCAGATTTATTGTGTAGAACATTATATAAGATGTCATAATATACAAAATAAATCTCAATAGATGCTTCACTCATATTTGATTAGGCATTCAAAAAGTATTACCTTTACGAATTTTTATTTTTGAATACTAATTAAATTAAGAATCAAGAATTGTTGACTTTATCATTATTTAATTTTATAAAAAATGGATGTTGGACTGTTTTATATCATTTAGTTTAGAATTGCGAATATATTGTTAAATTCTAGGTTACAGACAAAAAATTGTTAAAGTTTTTCCAATGTTGTTCAGAAGACTAATAAGGAATGAATAATTAAGAAATATAAAATTAAGAGTTTTAGGATAGTATAATTAGATTCTATTTTAGGATTTTAGAAATATATGGAAATTTGGAAGGATATAAAGATACGATTCTAAGGGCTTCACGTTTAATAGTTAAAATAAATAATTGGTGCTACTGTTGCACTTTTAAATGCAGCCACAAAAGTAATTTAAGGAATAACAAAAGAAGAATTTATTGATCTATTTAAGAAAAATAGTTGGTCTTTTATCTTAGATTATTAAGTTGAATTAGAAAAACGCCAATTTTAATTAGATGTCTATGCTTTTAAGTAATATAAACAACAACTCGAATATATGCCATTAATTGATTTAGAAAAATGCATTTTTATTTGATATTAATAATATTATTATAATATTGTACATTTAATAATTTTAATTTATTTCAAACAAATTTTAGACTAAACTTTTTAATTAATTGTTTTTTTAATATTTATAGGGTAAGAAACTTACTTAATTTTTAAAATCTAAAGATAATGCTTTAATTATTTTATTGAAGTTTAATATAAGTTCTGATATAATTTAAAATTAATTACTACATTAATAGAGATTATGAGTTAATATGCCTCATAGGTTTGATATTTTTTCTAAAATCAAAAATAGTAAAACAGAAACAATTAGATCATCTAAAATATATATATATTAATTTCTGAATGATATATATATATATTGAATTAAATCTAAATAATATAATAATCATTCAACTTTTAATACACTTCTCATAACTTTATATACACTAGCTTCAATCATGCTTGATACTGTGAATATACCCCCAATCACAGCACAAACTTGGACTAAGAAATGTAATATATCCTCTTTAGTTTACCAATATGTAACAGTAGTTGGAGCAAAATCATATCTGAATAATATAAATAAAAATACCTTAATTGAGCACTGGGATAATTGTGTGATCTAACTTCATTGTGATTGGCTGTATATTAAAAAACTGAATATGTTTATTTGTTTAATAATGTGTAATGAGTAGGGATAATGTTTATAAAGTGTTCATGTTACATCTAAAATGTATTATATCTATAAAAATACTGATTAACTTGCTAATTCATATTTCTTAATTCTTTGAGTACCAGCCAAAGATTCTAATTAACCTTATTTAAACAAGCTTTTAACTTTTTTAAGTGCATTTTCATCTCCAAATGTAAATTATATAAATTTATGAGAATAATCTAATGGAAGATGAACATTTCCAACTGCACCAATATAAGAATGAGATCGATGAGGTCCAAATGATATCTTTCCTCTAACTCTATTAACTTTTAAATTTCCGACCACTTCACATCCTTACTTTTCACCTACTGCTGTTCTTGCATCTTCAATCACAACCCAATTGTTATTATTTCTTATCTATATTATTTTTTATTTCAATTTTTACATATTCGCCAATCCTTCTTTCACTTGAATCTAATCTGTAATATTTTAATTCAATGAATTATTATGATAAACTCTATCCCATTGCATCTTATTAATCTAATTCTATAAAGTCACATGGAGCTCTAACAAACTTTATATCAAAATTCACTTAAACTCTATCCTTAGATAATTATTGATCCACGATGATTTCTGATTGAACATCTATTGTAACATATTCCTATATAATTTATTGCTAATTTTTAATACAATCATTTCATTCATAATCATTAATCCCAAAAATATTAATGTTATAATTGACACCACAGCTCCTGAACTTGTTGGCTCTGCCAATCCTTTAGGAATTTTACCATATAAATCTATTGCTTTTAATAATTTCATTAAATTATTTATAATATATATCATTCAATATAGGAACAAGCTAAAATCAATAATCAAAATTAGATTTGTTTATCCTTTAACAAAATACTTGAGAATATATCTATATTGCTTATTATTCTTCTTAATTTATTTCTAAAACAATTTCAATCTTTATTATCTTTAATTGTAAATAATAGAAATCTCAACAATTTTTAAATATAACCTCTCTCTATCTTCTACTTAAGATCCTTGTTCTGAATATAAATCTAATTGTTAATACATATTTTGATTCCATAAAATTTGCATATGTCTTATGTTCTATCAATTAAATTTCTTGCATATATATTTTATCTTTATTCCTTTCAAATTAGATAAAACAATCATGTATGAAAATAATGTGCTTCTATTTAAAATGTTTTTTGATCTCTAATTATTATAGTATTGATTAAATAAATAATATATTATTATTTATAGAAGCAACAACATACGAATCTTACTAATAATCATTAATACTATTTTCCAGATAATTATTTTGTATTATTCTTGTTATTTTAACAAAATATAAAATAAAAGTTTCATTTTTATTTATATTTTTCTTAGTTTTTTTTCTTTAATTAAATGGAAAAAAATTAGAAGAAATTAAAGACTTCTATAAATCTTTATAATTATCTTTTCTCTTTTAAATATAATTGAAAATTCTAACTATCTTTTATTGTGTTAAAATAAGACTTTAAGTTAAGAATAGATATATGTGATTTAATAAATTGTATTAAAAAGGCTGGTATCAATTTTGATGCTGGATTTTTATAGTTATATTAAAAAAGATTTGTATGATTTTATCTTCAATTTCATTAATGAATGGACTAAAATTACGTATTATAGATTCATAAATTTCTTATTTTCATATTATTTCTATTTAATATGAATATATTTTATAGACAGTTGATTTTATTCTTCTGATTTATTTTATAAGGTGAAGTTTATTAATTTAATTCTAATTTTTTATAATAGAAATTGAATAATCATTAATATATTTTTAATAAATTATTTAATCTAAATGGATTAAGATACCCCAAAGGAAGAGAATTAAGATGAATAAATATAATAAATTAATGAAACTTAAAATTCTTTAAATTAGGCAGAGATAGAATAGAAAGAATAAGCTGGAGAATTAAATTAGATTTAAAATCAAAATGATTAACCTCAAATCATTAGTGAAGAAAAAAATAATTAAGGTACAACTAAAAATGAAAATGAAAATAATGAAAACACTTTAAATTAAGGATCTTAAGAATTGAATGCAAACCAAACGAATTAATAGGATTCCTCGACATCAAATTTTTAAGATAGTATTCACAATTTAGCAGGAATAATAAATAACATTGATAATTAAGTATTATTATAAAAGGATCCTTTGGAAAGTCTTTGTGATTTATTATAGATTGCAAGAAAAAGTGAATTTGATGATGTTACAGATCCCCATAGTTTGAAGGAAGTAATTGAATAATTATACTAAAAAAAAAGATCTGATTTAGAAATTCTAATTAATCATGTGATGAAAAGTTATGATGAATTAAATTAAAAAGTTAATTTAAATTAACTAGAAAAAATTATGAGAATTCTAAAAAGCAAAAATAAAAGTATTTATATTACAAAAGATGGAATTGGAGATGAGGCTATTTCGTGTTTGTGTAATTAACATGATTCTGAATAATAAGAATAATAATTAGAAAATAATGTAGATAAAACTATAGAGTAGGAATAATAGGATTTGTAACAATAATAAGACTAAGAAATTTTATAATAAAATTTAGAACAGAAAGAAAATATCGAAAATTTAAATAATAATAACAATAATGAAAATGTTATAAATATTGAAAATAATTTAAATGATAAAAATGATATAAACGAATCAGAAATATCAAAAAATAAAGAAGAAGTATTAGAATAATAAATAGATTAAAATGAATAAAAATTAGGAGAATTACTTTAGAAATAATAATAAGAAGTAGAAGAATTTTAATTATAAATAGAATAAAATAAAACAGCTCTTTAAAATCAAGAAGATGAAATAGATTAAAAAATTTAATAAGTTGAATAATAAGATGAATAATAATAATTTACTTAAGATTAGTTAGAATAAAATGTTGAATCATTAAAGAATTCAATTTAGAGAAGTAGAGAATAAATTGAAAAATTAACAGAATAAAGAGATGCACTTCTTGTAAAAAGTAGAGAATTGGCTCAAAAATAATAAGAATTAAAAATATAATAATAATAAATCTTAAAATAATTAAAATAAAATGAAGATGAAGAAGAAGAAGATAATAAACCTGTATTATTTTTATTATTATTATTTTAGATTTCATGTTAAGATATTTTTGGCATCATGACTTTAAATACTTTAAACCTTAATTAATTATAGAACTATAATGATTAAAAAAATAGTTTGGTTTTTAAGTTAAGTAAAAATTATACAGTAGAAATAAAAAGTGATGATACTGATCACATTAGACATTTAAATGGAACTTCTATTTTGAAAATGATGCCTTCGATAATTCTTACAAGACACATATTTCCGTTTTTAAGTGCTTTGGAATTATTTAAAATTAGATAAGTTTGCGGATGGTTTAAAGAATAGTATATAAAAATATAAATATATTTAGAGTAAAGCAAGCATGGCCAATAGTATTTAAGAGAGAAATGTTTGAATAATTATTAGCTAGAGATTTAGCCAAAAATATATACACAGTTTTAAATTTACAAACTTTGAAAGGAACTCTATTTTTTAAAGTTTAAAATTTAATTGAAGCTATAATCCAAGCAATTTAGTGGGAGAAAGTAGATGAAGCATTATAATAAGAATAAATCGATATTAGTATCTATAGACCATTGATTGCCTTGTTGTCTTTATTCAATAAATAATAAACAATTTAATTTCCTTATTAAATAGATGGAATTTTTAATATAAGAGAATTAGCAAAGGAAATGAAAACCTAAGTAATTCAATATATTCAAACAACATNTATTAGAATAATAAATAGATTAAAATGAATAAAAATTAGGAGAATTACTTTAGAAATAATAATAAGAAGTAGAAGAATTTTAATTATAAATAGAATAAAATAAAACAGCTCTTTAAAATCAAGAAGATGAAATAGATTAAAAAATTTAATAAGTTGAATAATAAGATGAATAATAATAATTTACTTAAGATTAGTTAGAATAAAATGTTGAATCATTAAAGAATTCAATTTAGAGAAGTAGAGAATAAATTGAAAAATTAACAGAATAAAGAGATGCACTTCTTGTAAAAAGTAGAGAATTGGCTCAAAAATAATAAGAATTAAAAATATAATAATAATAAATCTTAAAATAATTAAAATAAAATGAAGATGAAGAAGAAGAAGATAATAAACCTGTATTATTTTTATTATTATTATTTTAGATTTCATGTTAAGATATTTTTGGCATCATGACTTTAAATACTTTAAACCTTAATTAATTATAGAACTATAATGATTAAAAAAATAGTTTGGTTTTTAAGTTAAGTAAAAATTATACAGTAGAAATAAAAAGTGATGATACTGATCACATTAGACATTTAAATGGAACTTCTATTTTGAAAATGATGCCTTCGATAATTCTTACAAGACACATATTTCCGTTTTTAAGTGCTTTGGAATTATTTAAAATTAGATAAGTTTGCGGATGGTTTAAAGAATAGTATATAAAAATATAAATATATTTAGAGTAAAGCAAGCATGGCCAATAGTATTTAAGAGAGAAATGTTTGAATAATTATTAGCTAGAGATTTAGCCAAAAATATATACACAGTTTTAAATTTACAAACTTTGAAAGGAACTCTATTTTTTAAAGTTTAAAATTTAATTGAAGCTATAATCCAAGCAATTTAGTGGGAGAAAGTAGATGAAGCATTATAATAAGAATAAATCGATATTAGTATCTATAGACCATTGATTGCCTTGTTGTCTTTATTCAATAAATAATAAACAATTTAATTTCCTTATTAAATAGATGGAATTTTTAATATAAGAGAATTAGCAAAGGAAATGAAAACCTAAGTAATTCAATATATTCAAACAACATTTTTACCTTTGAGTTTTAATCAAATGAGAAAACTAAATGAAAACTTATTATCTGCTCCAGATTTTAGTATTGAATTCTTAAATTCAAAGGAGGATAAATTGCCATTGTATCTTACAATATTAGTTTAATAATTATACTATCATGGATTGATACATTAAACATTCATAATTGATGGTTATTAATTAGATAAATGGAAAATGTATAAATATTTATAACATTCTTAGAGAATAAGATATATTGGGAAAAAGATAGAGTTATAACTAAAACTTTTTAGAAGGTGCATACAAAAAGTTATTACTTCGAACATATTAGGATGATAATGAAGATGATTCATCCTTCGAAAATTTAAATTCAGATATAAATGAAGTATAAATAAATTAATAATCATCAGGCCTAATAATTTTTAAAAGCTTTGACCAATTTAACTCCCACTGAAAATCCTGAGCCAGATATTGTTATTAGAAGAAATAAAACAGTAACAAAAATCTTTATAGATATACATACTAAATTGGATATTCTAGTTTAAACTATCGAATAATATAGAAGTTAAACTCTAAGAAAAGATGTTATAAATGAATTATAGTAATAATAATCTGATCAAATACCCGAGGAATCTGATTAATCAAAAGATAATAAAAAAGATGTATAAATATAAACGAACTCAGAAATTCAAGAGTCAAACACTAAATTCTAGGAAGAATTTTAATCCTAATTCGATTAAACACTAAACTAATAAAACTAAGATTAAGAAAAGAATTTATTAGGAGAAGAGAATATCAATTAACAAAAAGAATGAAGAATTAAATTATTATATAATTATTAAATATATTAAATGGAACAATTATAAAGATAGCCAGCAAAATAACTATATTTTACAACTGAGTTATTTAAAAATAAGTTCATAACAGAAAAAGAAAAAATTCAATTAAAAGAATTTATTATTGCTCAAGATGATTTCCTAACATCATATTTTGATTAATATGAAAGAAATGATATCACAGAATAAGAATTGAGAGAAGTATATTTATTAATGTTATTTAGAAATTAATCAAATTAGTTAGAACAGATTTCTTTAAAGATTCTAATTTTAAGCGAAATTGATTTTTTGAATTTTTAGATTATTATTGTATATGAATTATTGAAAAATATTTGAAAATATTAAATTAGTAAAATTTTATAAGAATATTATCAATATAAAGTGATCAAATTTATTCTGCTTTCAAACTTTCTTAACATATCATCTTCTTATTTGTATTCTTATGGTATTATGAAAGAATAATTTTAATTTAAGTCAGTCTTTTTGCTTCCAATTTTTTAAATCCATATAAAATTTTAACTTTATTGAGTACGAAAGTCTTTGAATAATTTTAGTACGTTAAATAATGACAAGAACTAAAGTGTACAGGAAATATATAAATAAATAATAGTTCCTATTGGGGTTGAATATATTGCTTCACTAATCAGAGCAATTATGCTCATTATTCCAAACATAATTTCATAAATTATTCCTAATAACACTAAAAGCATTATTTTTTTAAGTATATTTTTGTCAGCATCAAAACTACTAGATTTTTATTATAATTATTGATCTTCTAAATCTTTCTATTATTCAAAAGCATCTATTTATTATCCTATTTGAGTGTAAATTTAATCTTAACTTTAATCACTTAAATTGCTTATTTCTATTTGCTTTTAATTATTTAATTTTTGAGGTATAACTATTTAAACTTGATCGCAATGAACTTTTTCTTTTGCATCCCTTACAATTTCAAGTTTTCTTTATATGGCATTTTTAATTATTTCTTAATCTTATTTATCACAAATCCAATCTATTTCTTTTATAGATTCATCTAAACAACAACTTTCATTATTGATATTTTAAACTATATTAGTTCCTCCCTCATTCATTTCTACTTACTCTGCAATAACTTCTTTAATCTCATTGTTTGTATTAATATTTTGATGGCTCCCTTATCTATAATACATAAAGCTTGAACTATTTTTACAGAATGTAACATTTTTTTTTCTTTATCTATCCTTTTGATTATTTAGAACAGATACTATAACCTAAGGTAGATCTTCGCTGGGTCTTCTTGAAGATTTTATCGATGGAGAAATTTCTATTTTTTAAATTTAGTTATTCTATTAAAATGATACATCTGCTTCTATTTGTTCTAATTATTGTTATAATTCTTCTTTCATGGTGATCAAATTCTTTATTTTCTTTTTTTTTTCTTGTTAAAATTACTTAAATTACTAACGTATACAATTTTGTAGTTTTATCCCATATAGAGCAAATTCAAAAATGAATATAAAAAAATTAATGAGGAGAAAAGAATAACATATCATAGCAAAATGAGGATAATCAATCTCCAGTCTTAATCCTATAAATATTGAATTCAATTTCTACCTGTAAATATACTTACTGCAATCTAAATAAGTAAAACTAAAAATAATCTTAGCTTCACTACTTTTTTATAATGTTTATAAATTAATGGATTGCTTTCATTTTTCTAATTATTTTCATTGTTATTCTAAAAATTAATTATTTATTTACTTGATTTGATAAATAATAACTTATTTCAGCATACATAGTATACCAAGTAATTAGTATATATCCATATATATACAATAAAATTGTATAAGAAATATCATTTAAAACATGTTCAAATACAATAGTTCTACCTTACTTTTATATCATAAAAATTTACATAAACTTAAAGTGGATCTAATATTAACCAAAGTAACTTTACTAAGCTGAGCAAGCAAGATAATGTTAAAATTATGTTTACCGGTGTTGCAACTAATAGCTTAATTGATTTCTAAGATCTATTTCAATTTTTCTTTTACTTCTCTTCAATAGTAAGATTTTTATCAAATATTTTATGATAAAGTTAATAACTTGCATTTATTAATGTGTATAAAAACACTATACAAAATAAGCCGATGAAAATATAGTATTAGGGAGTGAAAATTTCAGATATTTTTGACTCACAATAATCACCAAAGAATCCATAATCACAAATACATTTTCCTTAACTCAGATAACCTCTATCACAGCATGCGTCAAAAGTACATGAAGATTCACTCATTTCTTATAATTTTTAATAATATTAACGAATTACCTCCTTATAATTCGAGAAATTTAAATATTATTTTTATTTTTAATATGATCGAAGAAGAGCCTCAATAAAGTGATCAGACTAAAGTTCTATAATTAATTCATACCAATACTAAAATAACAAAATAATAAGCTTCGTAAATGAATTTAATGAAATTAGTTAAACAATGTTAATTATAATTCTAAATTGAATAAAACTTTAGAGAATGCAGCTAATATTTATCAGAACTGGCTATTATTTATCTAAAATAACACTAATATTTGAAAAAAGATATTGAAATACTCTAAAACTCTCTAATTGATTAATTTGATGAATAATAATAGAAAAAGCAAAATAAAAAAAAGACAATAGATAAAGATAAAATTAAGCAAATGAAAGAAAAGGATTCATTTGATAATGAACCTTAATTTAGTTTTAAAGAAAATCCAAAAAACATTATTGCAGCAGAAAAATTATAATTAGTCGAACAGTAAAAATCTTCAATGAATATGCAACAATTACTTAAAAGAAATAATAATTAATAAACAGAATATGAAATTGATAGTATTGTTAAAGACTTATCATAAATTTATAAATGCTCTTTATCTGATATATTGAACAAAAAAAAATAAGAATTAAGATTTAAAAGGAATTCAAATAATATAGATTAATCGAAGCAACAACTTGTTTATAATTTTAATAATTAAGAATAGGAGATTAAAGAAGATGATTATAATTTAGTTGAAGAAGTAAGTTAAACTGAGAATCCAATTATTGAATATCCAGAAATATCATAAAAGTAAAATACAAGTAAAATTGTTAAAAAATAAAACAAAAAGAATTATAATAAGGATAATAAAGAAATTGAAAAAAGAAATAGAAAATCAAAAATGTCTTTATTAAAAAAAACACCTGAGCTAGATTCTAAAATAAAAGAAGACACAGATGAAGTATTTAAAAATAATCTAAAGACATTTATGAGGCATAAAGAAAAAATTAATGAACTAAGTTTAGAAATAAACTATTTATAACTTGAACCAGAATTTTGGAGACATGAAGATGAATTAATAGGTTTAATTAATAAGATATCATTTTGTTAAGATTCTCATTAGAAGTAAAAATAATTTTAAGTAGAAACATTTAAAATGAAAATAATATTTTAATTTTTGATAACTTGACAACAGATTTAGATCATAAAAAAGTAGTTGCACAAAATTTCGGCGAAAATTCCTAAATTAAATAAAGTATATCAGAATTTGCCAATCTTGATTTTTCCCAAACTCCTCAAAAATTAAACAAAAAAGAAGATAATTCATAAATTTATTTAAATCTAATAGAAGATCTTCATATTGCTTATGGAAAAAATAGTACATTAAGTTCAAATAAAGTATTAATATTATTTATATGAAGTTTTTTGAAATTTGTGAAAAATACTAAAGTAACAAACCAAAAGCATTTTATGATCTTTTAATATTAAGTAGAGTTGGCATGGTTTAAATTAAAAATACATAAAATTAGTAGTTTTTTAGCAAGATTTAAATAATTATTTGATTTATGAGTTATTTATAAAAAACATCAAAAACCTTTTAATAGAATTAATAGATAGTTATTTTAATAAATGAGTCTTGATATTTGAAAATATGATAATCATCGATAATAAGAATCAATTTTGTACAATCTGATCCACTAATTCTTATCCTTACTCAACTTTGTCTTAGAGTTCTGTTAAAATGTTTTACTCTTATTTTGGTATCACCTATTTTACAATAGCTAAATTCAAATAATAAAATACGTTAGCTAGTAATATTCCTAAATTTATATATCTTAAAATTATTAAATTTCTTAGTAGCATCATTTGCATCCTATTTCCATTTTTCATTAAGCTTCAATTAAGATGTACTTGCCATTTGACTGTTGAATGTAAGTTAATATATTTAATCTAAAAATTATTCCGAACTTAAAAATTTTTTGAGTAGTACTCTTTTATAAATAAAAAATAATAATTACTTTTTATCTTAATGCGTAAATTATCGGTAATCTATATCTTCAAAAGCAATTTACTCAGAAGATTTGGGTGTTTTGTTACTTCCACCCAAAAATGCTTATTTTTATACTGTTTGTCTAGCTGCTATATCTTTCTTAATCTAATTTACACAATCTAACAACACTACTTCAAGTTCTCCCCTTTAAGAATTTTGTCTTTATAGTTCACACTTTAATTATTGACACAAATTCTTTTCTTTTTATAACAATATCTTTAATTCAGCAATTTAATTATTTCTTTCTTCTATCTATAAGTATTTATATTGAATACCATTTAATTTTCAGGATGAAATCTACTTTGTTATTGAGCAGAAATTTCTCGCCTAAAAAAATCAAACTATGTTGATGCTTAATCATTATTTTTAGTTGATAGTTGCGATCTTAATCCTGCTTTTGAAGATTACTCTCTCTTTAAAAATTCAGAATTAAAATCATCCTTAATAAATAAATTTCCTTCTGATCTGATTCCTTCTTATGTTTATGGCCTATTATCAGATTGTTTTTTCGAATTTAATTTAGAAATTTACTAAGTTTATGATTGTTATTGTATTCGATTTAATGTTTTTTAATCTTCCATTTTTTATTTATATAATTATAAGAGTTCAAACTTTAATGCTTTATTTTCTTTTTTTGAATCTTAAACATAGCAAGTAAAATGTACCTATAACAAAACCTTCATAATAATTTTTTTCTTCTATTGTAATTTTTAATTTGAACTTTAATTCTTCAATTGTTCTCAATTGCTCCTTATTTAAATTATCTAACCTGAGAGCTTCTTATCTAAAATAATCTCTTTCTTCTTCTAAAATTCTTTTTTTTTCATCAGCTTTTTATTTTAATGACTCTTCATCAATTTTTCTTTTCATAGCTTTCAAATCTATTTGTAATTCATTCATCTGGTCTTTATATGCTTTCATAAAATCATCTTCTTAACTTTTTACTATTTATTCAACCTTTCCTTACAAGTTCTAAGGTTGTAAATTATATTTACATCCATAATTTCTTAAAGCTTTGAATAATTGGATTCAAAATCTTTTCCAAACTTCTCATCATGAAATAAAGCTGGATATTTCTATTTAGTTAATGGTTATGTGATTAGAATATTATCCTAAAGTATAGATTTATTTAATACTTAAGGTTTTCCATTAAATTATTCCATTTTATTAAATTTATTATCTTAATAAACAGTTATATTTCTCACTTTCGGAGTTTAAAATATCTAATAGGAGATCAATAATATTATTTAATAAGTTTAAAAGTATACTAATATTGATTTAAATGATTTAAATACATTTTATTGATGATGATTAATTACAATTTTATATACTAATATAATTTTATAAATCATCTATAAGCATTGAAAATCGAATTTGAAAGTTAATATAAAATGACTAAATATCTCAAATAGAATTGGTAATAATGATTTTAGTAACAATTACTTTTATATATAGTAAGTAAATGTGATCAAATAAAAAATATTTATAAATTTTGTAATAGAATGTATACATAATGCAAAGATATTAATAAAAATATAGTAATAGAGATTTAGAGAATGGAAGAGGAATATGAATATAAGTTTTTGAATGATGAAAAGACAATAATTTATGAGTTTTTCAAAGAAATACATTAATACTATTTATTTTTATTTAAAATTATTTAGGATTTAGTACGAATTATGATATTTAAGGGACTTCTTAATTTCTAGAAATAATTAAAAAATTTAAATTTTAAATATCCAAAATGAGCACTAGAGAAGAACTCATCTATATGACAAAATTGACAGAATAAACAGAGAGATTTGAAGATATGGTCAATTACATCAAATAAGTTGTAGAGAATGGTTAAGAATTGTCAGTTGAGGAAAGAAATCTTCTCTCTGTTGCTTATAAAAATAGCATTGGTGGAAGAAGAACAGCTTGGAGAGTTTTATCAAGTATTGAAAACAAAGAAGAAGGAAAGGTATAAAAATAAATAATTTTTCATAGGCTTAATCTTAACCAGCATCATAAAAGAATCTTGTTTTGATCAGAAGCTATAAGAAGAAGATTGAAGAAGAGCTAAATCAATATTGCAATGATATTCTTAATTTGATCGATAGCCATTTAATCAAAACAGCTTCAACCCCAGAAGCCAAAGTGTTCTTCCACAAGATGAAAGGAGATTATCACAGATACATTTCTGAATATGCTACAGGAGATCAACATAAGAAAGCTGCTGATGGTGCACTTGCTGCCTATTAAGCTGCTTCTTAAGTTGCTAACTCTGAATTAAAGACAACAAACCCAATTAGATTAGGACTTGCTTTGAATTTCTCCGTTTTCTATTATGAAGTTTTAAATGATGCCGCCAAGGCTTGTTAATTAGCTAAATCAGTAATTATATTTAATTAATATCTTTAGGCTTTCGATGATGCCATTGCCGATATTGAATAAATCTAAGAAGATTAATATAAGGATGCCACAACCATTATGTAACTCATTAGAGATAATTTAACATTGTGGACCTCAGAACTTGAAGATGAAGGTGGTAATGTTGAAAACCTCTGAGTTGGATATGATATATTATATATATATAATTATATAGAAGAAGAGACACACAATCTTATCCTTTTTTAAATTGTTTAATTTGAAAATATTTAAACAAATTATGTATTTATACATATTTTATTTTATGTTATTTTTGATTATTGATTTCATATGAGCTATTCTATTATTCTATTTTTGAAGGTAGAAATATTTTAGTAGGTATTTACAAAAAATGCATAAACCAATTTATTACTAAATATATTAGCTTACATTACTCTTTTTCAAAAGTTACTAATTTACATTTTATTATATTTCCATCAATTGTTTTATTAAAGTTAATTCTAAATTTTATTAATATAAAGCTTCATTTAATTCTGATAAGTCTCAATATATTCTAATCCTATTATTTTACAAAATTTTAAAGCATTTAAACTGATATAATTTTATGTTAAAATTCCCATTATTGCTATCTATTAATAATAACTTGAAGAGAAAGTTTCAAGCAATCTCTTATATGTTAGATTCATTCTTGCAGTACATCAAAAGATTCTATACTAAATTATTAGAGTGTAAATTGGTAATGTCAAAAACTATTAAAGCTCCAATCATTACTCCGTCATACCTTTTGTTTGAGCTTTGTATATTTCTTAATCTTCAGTATCTAATAATTACATGTTAAATTAATTTTGATTGACTTAAACAATATTAGCTGAAATTCAATACATCAATGAATGTTTATTTTACATTAATTATTTCTTATTTGATCTTATGAATTACATGTCCCATGGATTTTATAATAATAAAAGATTTGATTTTGCCTTAATTCCATTGCCAATCATAATAAACTGGAATACCTAAGAAATTATTTATTTACTAATAATAATGATTATTATTATTCATAAATTCAAAATGATTGACAACTTTTGTTCTTATTTTTTCTTATTCTGCTCTATTTGTCTTTGTTGATCCTCAAATTATTAGTTAAATTCTATTTTCTTGCTTAAAAAATTAAGATAAATGCATTCAGATTCCCTTTGCACATTTTCCATCATTTTAACCCAATAATTATAATATGAATACAACTTTTATATGCAAATTTAAAATCATCTACTGATTAATTATTTAAGTATGTTGATTATTCATTTGCTACAAAAAACAATAGAAATATATGTTTACTAGAAAACTCAAAGGTCCAATTTATATAAATTCTTAACTTGCAGAATTGCAAAGGCCCAAATTTATCTTCTTCCCATATTTAATAATAAATTCACCATAATTAATAATTTCATATATGGAAGGTAAATGTTCTTAGGGAATTATCTAATAGAGTAACTTAATTAAGATCCTAGATACGAATTCCTTAGCTTTTGCTTAAATATTAGAGTAAATTATATTGATTATTCTTTAAAATTATTGTATTTATTAAAATAGTCATAAAATTTAATTTTTAACTTTCTAATAATGCAAGTTCTACATCTTATTTAAAATTGATAATAATTTATGATACAAGATTTTTAAAGAATTTTTTAATCAGTAAAATAATATGATTAATCATTAGAGAAAAAAAAATAATTGCAAAATCTCACTTAAATAGTTGTTTCAATTATTCAAAGATTAATTAAAATCAAAATTTTTTTTATCATAAAATTTAAGAATAAAGATATAATTTGTTTTGCTTGAACAAAAAAATTAGATATATTATTGAAATTAGAAAGAAAATTTTTCAATTAAAAATATATAATAAGAATTTTAGAAACAAAAAATTTCAAATACATCAAAAAGTTTGAATTAAAACTAGTCAATTAATAATCTCTTTTTTTTCATAATTTTAATTTCATTTAAAAATAGAATACTAAAATCTAAATGAATTAAAGCGGATATTGCTTAGATAAATAAATCAATAATAATTAAATATAGAAAAGAGTATTAATTTAAAGAAAGTTCATTTATGTAATAAAAAAATAATATAATCCTATAATTTATATATATTAAATTTCAATATAATGGGAAATTAATGTGCTTCTCAATGTTAATGCCAATAATAATTAAAAGAATAAGTAGCCACTGAAATTATTGTATGACTCCTTATAATTTTAGATCGCAAAATCTGATCCAAACAGTTTAAAAAGCAAGAAGTCAAGTTCTAAATAAAGCATAATATAAAAATATGCTAAAATATAATAAAAAGAAGCTAAAAAAGAAACAGAAACAGAAGAGGTGTAAAATAAAGCATAAAAACAAAATAAGGCAGCAATTTAAATTTAAAAAATGTGGAGAGGTTATTTGGTTAGAAAGAAGAAAACATTAAAAAATTCTGTCAAAAGGGATACTAAAAAGAATTATTTAGGAGAATAAGTTGAGGCAGTTACTTTACCAAAAAATTCTTCATATGCTGAATTAGAGAATCGTCCTGCTTATAAATTTAAAAGTGGAGCAGTGTATGAAGGTTAATGGAGAGGTACATATAGAGAAGGTATGGGTACTCAGACTTGGGCAGATGGTGCAAAATATGTAGGAGAATGGAAATAAAGTCATGCAAATGGTAAAGGAAGATTTTATCATATTGATGGAGATACATTTGATGGTTAATGGGAAAATGATAAAGCAAACGGATATGGAATATATACACATGCAAATGGTTCTAAGTATGAGGGAGAATGGAAAAATGATTTATAACATGGTAATGGTGTAGAGACTTGGTTTGATGGTTCAAAATATACAGGAGTGTATTTTGAAGGTAAGAAATAAGGAAAAGGAAAATATGAATGGCCAGATGGATCATTTTATGAAGGAGAATGGTACGATAATAAAATAACAGGTTTTGGTACATATTTTTGGGCTGATGGAAGAGGATATACTGGTTAATGGTTGAATAATTGTATGCATGGTAAAGGAGTTTATACATGGAAGGATGGTAGAAAATATGAAGGAGAATATAAATAAGATCGTAAGGATGGTTATGGTACATATACATGGGCTGATGGAAAGAAATATGAAGGTTAATGGTAGGATGGAAAATAACATGGTAAAGGTAAATATATCTTTCCTGATGGAACAATTAAGGAAGGTATCTGGAAAGATGGTAAAAAGGTCAAAGCTTTAGATAATATATGATTACACCATTGATAATTCGATTTGTATTACTATTTATATTAAATCTTAGTTATTGCTTTTATACAAATTGAAAATAATATAATCGTTAAATTTTTAATTAATTTTTTTAAAACTGTTGATATTTTTGGTTTCTGATTCTTATTCTAAGTTTGTATTTAATTTAAAAAATTTACATCTTCAATTATAGTTTTTTATTGAATCTTATAAATATATATCATCCAATAATTATATACATATTGATCAGCTATCCTTTTTGAATTTTTATTATTATTTAAATTATTAGAAGTACAATTCTTGAAATAAACAAAGACCTCTTTCACAAATATATTTTAATCTATATTTCTACTCTATAAAAAGCTATAAGTTGAGAATTGATATTCTAAATCACTTCTATTTATAGTTATGAAGTATTCTAATACATTTTTTTTTTGACTTTAAGACTTCAACGATAGCATTATATTGATAAGACACATTTAATTTATCTAAATCTGATATTTTATTTTCAATATTTTGAAAAGTATAAAATTGAATTATCATTCTTCTCCATATTCTTAGTTTGATCAATATTTTGTATTAATAATTACAGCAAATATAAAAAATACATAAAATTAATCATTTTCAAATTATCCCTTTAGCTACTTTTTCTATAAATCTAGATGAATAAAATTCAGGATTTTATGAAGATGTGTCTAGTGCAGCATTCAAATGTATGGTGGAGTTTGAGACTTTTAGTAAAACAATAACTAATTTGAATAAGATGATTATTAAAAATTTAATAATAAAAATTAAATTTTTTGTTCAAATTCAATGTCTTTCAAGGTATGTTTTCTAAGTTTATCTTCTGATACAGAAACACTAGATTCGAGCAGATCCTTTGATATCATAAGTTCTTAACTTATAGATATGTGGAATTTACATTACATCCCTCATAACCTAAAAATAAATTGGCTCATCAAACTTTAAAAAATTAAAAATTATTTTAATTTTTTCTACAAAATTTGAATACACCATAGATTAGTAAAATCAGAGTCAAAAACTTTTGGTGCATAAATTGTTAAAGTAGAATCAATTAACTTAATTTTAGTATTTTTTTAGTTAGAATTATATTAAAAATCATTAACCTGAAAAATCTATTATTCAGTAAAATCAGATTAAGTTAATTAATATACATCTTATATTATATTTAAATCCCTATTGATGAAAGATTCAGTTTAATTCAATTAATCAGATTCTCTTTATTTTAAATTAGATTGATCATCTTCTATAACAAAACTGTAGATTTCTTATGAGATAATTTTACTTATTCTATTGTGTTAACATAATCAAATTTTAAATTTTCATTTATATCTTCAAAAACATTTCTTTGATCCTCCACTAAATTTATAAAGAAAATTTTCACATAATTCAATAGAGTTATTATGAGTTCTTTTTCTTTGCCTTAAATATCCCCATAATTATTACACCTATCTAAGAATTGTTGGATCGCTATATCTTAAAATAGATAACACAATAGGTGTGCAAAGTTTTGCAAAATTACCAATTGATATAAAAATAAGTAGAGATCCTTTACGAAAATATGTACAATTTAACCCAACTGCAGTAAAACAAAATGCTTATGTAATCCAAATTATACACTAAGCTGAAATGTACTTATATTAATATCTAACCATTTTTCCTTTATATTATCTATATGTTTTATCATTTGGAATAACTTTGTTAAAATATATAATCGTCGAGATTGCTAATATTGAGTAGAGTAAAACCAAAATAATACCAGCCAAAGGAAAACCAGGAGGATATTTAAAACTACATGTTCCGAACAATGTTAAACCAGTTTTATCAAATAATATAGTTAAAAGAGGCACAGATATCATGGTTATCCAAGCCAAAAAGTGAATTTTAAAAGGAAGTTTTGCAACATTTGTTAGTTTGCCTTTAAAATAAAGTCTTACATATATAAAGAATAAGACATTATAAGTGATTTCTTCAGTTCCAGCAAAAATACTTAAGATAGAATTAATTTAACAAAATACTTCAGAACTTTATGGATTTTCTTGATTAATATTATAATAGATAGCAGTAGAAAACCAATAGATGCACAATATCCCTTCTGACAAGGAAATGAAAAAAATGATATCACCTGGCATTTTCCATGTTTATGAACATTTTAAAAAACTCGATATAATTAGTAATGTAAGGAAAAAGGCCAAGGGAGCTTAATTTACATATTAATTATACAAATTACTAAAAAGAGCCATTGATCTAAAGGTTAAGGAATAATGGTATCTGATAATTCTTCATCTGTGAAATTTTTATCACAATCAAATACATCATCATCATTGTACATTCCAAAACTAATTTTTTAATAATAGTGAGCCTATAAGAGATTTAAGCATATATTTTAATTATAAAATTAAAAATTATATAATTATATTGAATAATTTGATATTTAATTTCATTTACTTGAGATATGTAAATTCAAAAATATGTTGCCTTGTAATTGTTCGAGTTTATTTGTGGATATTTAATATCATCTAAAGATTGTTTAGCAATAATTCTTTTCTAATTTAATGCATCTAGCAATTCTTATCTTTGTTTTAGGAGCTTTTATTTCTGATCCACTAAGAAATTTAATTTATAACTTTTTTCACTAAAATGGTTCTAATTCAATAATTCCTTTTGATGCAAAAGAGTTTAAGAATTAGATCTTACTGCTTAACGATATTCATCCTTTTATTATTCGAAATTTAATCTATTAAGTTTATTAAGATTTTGTTATTTTTCTATCAATTAAATCTTTTATTCAATTTATTTTAATTTATCACTATAATAAGATTATTTCTCTTAATTTATTAGGTTGTTCTTTTCTTATACATCAATTATATGCATGTCATGCATTCTTATTTTATCAATAGAGCGATCGAGAGATTCACTTCTGATTTATTTTGCATATCCTATTTTATGATCAATATAATCTAATTTCTTTTTAGAAATCTATTATTTAATATTATATGTTTTATACTTCAGAATCCCTAAATTTATTAATTTTCTTTTTTATTAAAGCTCTTTCAACATTATCAGTTGTAGTTTAAAGTTATTTGAATAAAAATCGAAGAACTTTCTCTCTTTCAGCATCTACCTTTAATGGTTTCATATCTTTTGAAGGAGAATAATCTTAATAAAAACACCAACTTGCATCTAAAGCATTAATATAATCATTTTCTTTTTATTTATACAAAAATTGCTGATCCTTATTCACTTTTTGCTCTTTCAACTCACAATAACATTAATTATTACAAAATCTTCCTTTTATTTTTTAGAATTATCAATCAATTTCTCCTTGTAAAACATTTAGTGTAATTTATTTTCATTCTTTAATTTCTCATCCTAAATTATTTATTGATAAGCCATTAAATTATTAAGTTCTTTCTCCTAATCTTGTAAATTTTATTATTACATGTTTTTTTTAAAACTTTATTGATTTGCCTAATTCTTTATTCAGAAATTTAGATAAGTTTTCATCAGCATCATACCTTTATAATTATTATTATGCCATTAAATAATATGTGAATTTACAAAAATATAATTACTTAAATATAATTAGATAATACGGAAAATTAATTTTAATATAGGTATATTCACTCTGTGCGATTCCATTTAAGTTCGTCCTCACAATATAAATCCTACTATTTTTAAGTAATTGGAGTAAACTAAGAAAATTTATCTGAAAGTCTTTGTTTATGGGTCATCGACTCTCTTAAAAAAGCTTCGAACTTCTTGATTTCAGGAGATGATAGCATTTATTCAATATCAGATGATAGTCTTCTATGATCTTACTTCAAAACCTCATTCTCAAAGTTTGAAGTTATTTATTTAATTTTTAGATGTTTCTTGTTCATCTATTTTTTTCAAATAAAATTAATCAAACAATATTATACTGAAAGCAATCGAACTTTAATAATTTATCAATTTATTATATTAATCATAAATCAATTAATTTCGATTTCTTAATAACTTTAGAAACAAACTTTATTACTAATGATAGAGTGAAGCTCTAATCTAAATTTTCATTCATTTTATTATAAATGCAATCTTTAAAACATGGGTAGATTTAATAATTACATTAAATTTTTTGATAATTGTACAACTATAAAAATTCTAAAGTTAGAAATTTTTAACTCAAATTTATCTTTGAAAAGAGAAAACCTAAAGTTTACTATCTCATTTTTATATAATTAATAAATCATATAGACGTTATTCAAAATACAAAATATCTTTTTTTTAGAAAACTCATTAAAATAAGAAACAATATTTTAACTAATGACAATAGGTCAAGTTTCCTTAATAATAATAATGGTAATTTATAATCTTTTTGCTTTTTTGTAAAATCTTTTCATTAAATAATCTTTTATTTTACTATTAAAATTGTCGATAACTAATCCAAATTGTTAGGGTCATACATCCAAATTTTAGTAAAATTTAATTAGAATAAACTCTTAAACGAATTAAACTGCGATAAATGATAGATTGTTTAAAATTAACCCTAAGGAATTCATAGAAAAAATATTCTTAGTGTTAGTATTTTATCATTAATTTGATAGTAACAGATTACTTATATGTAAAATATAAAATAAAAGATTAAAAATAAAGTGAAGTTAATTAATAGATATGATTTGGTTCTTTTCTAATAATTGGAGGCTATCTTTCATCAAAAATTATTATGTTATTACAAAAATCTTGGAAATATATTGTTATCCTATTGACTCAAAATTAATAAAACTTAAAATATAACTTTTTAGTAAAAATGTAATTTCTTTTAAGCAGATCTACGGTCATCAGATTAATGATAGTATATGATTATAGATCAGCTGATATATAAAATAAATTTACAACTTTTATACCAGAGCAAAATTTGAAATTATTAGAATAGAAGATAGAGGCTAAAATTTAATAGTACTTTCCTTTGACCATGCTTAGATTCGAACTCGGAGATAAAGTTTAAGTTAAATATAAGAAAATTGGTATGAAAATTTAGGATAGATTACAAGATTAAAGAATTGAACTTATATACTATGTTATAAAGGAATATCATATTACAAAGGAATATGATAAATAATCTAAAAAATAACAAAATGAAGGATAATCTAATTCTCTAAAAAACATTAAGTTTATTTTTAAAATTCAAGAATATGCAAATTTTTGTATAGTATATTTTAACGAATACACAAAATCTGCTAAATGATATTTTATTCAGTTAGTTAATTTTATCTGAGATTCTATTAAAATTTGCTTTGTGCCTATGTTTGCTCTTCTTGAACTCTTACTTCTACTCTAATCACATGTTTCTAAATATTTTACCATAATACCTTTATATTTTTAGATTTAACTATTATTTTAAGAGCTATTTTTTGAAACAGGTTAACTAATGATTCCTTTTTTTCTATCTTACACTGAAACACTTTGAATAAGATCATGAATTGTTGAGAGTGAATTATTTTTACTTTTCAACTTTTAACCATAAATTTTGCTAAAGTCTTTTTGTTAAATCACTTTTAACACATCTGCCTTATTACCTTATTAAACATAATTAATGATATTGTAATAATTTTATTTTAAAGATTACTGTGATTTAATTGGTATTTCATGGCTTTCTAGTGTATTGGATGTTTGATTAATTTAAGTTGTTAATTTATGTTCAGAATAAGATTTTTAATTTCTTTGATCTTAAAATTAATAGAAATAATCTACTTTACAATTATAATTATTGAGTAATTGGTTATTGGTTTTTTTTTGTACAAGTTTTTAAGTAATCTCTTTAACTCAAATCTAAAGATTTCTTTCTATTCTCTTTTTCTAAATTATTTATTATTTATTTTAAGCTTGAAATTTCTATATTTAATCTCTATTAACTTTCATGGTAGGTTTAATTTTCTCTTTTCAAATTCTATAATTTTTATAAATCAATACGCTTATTAATTTTTTGGTTGTTTCTAATAGCTCAACCCTACTTGTTTCACTCTCATCTAATTTATTTTATATAGACTCAGCATATAATTTAAGTTATTATTCAATCTAATAGTATAAATAATTATTACTCTTATATGATTTCTAATTTCGCTTTCATATTTGATTAATGTTTGCTCTAACTTCTCATATTCTTCATCAGACCTTAAACTTTTAGTTATTGAATGGTTTGGATCTACTTGTTTTTCTAATTTGCTTGTTAATAATTAATTTAACTACTTACGATATTTTCTTTTCTACTTTCAACATTAGGTTAGTAAAAACAGCTTTAATAATTCCAACTAAATGAGCTAAACTTTCATAGTCTTTTAATTCAGCTTCTACTTAATTTAATTCTTCTTTGGTTTCTATATATTTCTCAATGTTTAATAAAACTCTTTCCAATAAGTCTTTTAAATTATTTTCTATTTCTTCTTCATTAATGCTAGCTATGCTATAATTTTCATTCTAATTCATTAACAGTTAATTTAATAAATATATATTTATACATTAAAATTATCAATAATAATTTCTAAGCAAAGAGATTATAGAAAAAGATACTTATAAATATATATTCATGAAATAGTTTAATTAAATATATTAGAAATTTGAAAATCAAATTATAAATTTTATAAACCAAGAAGATTTGGTTATTCAAAAATTTCAAGAATTATAACAAATTTTAATAATCAAAGAATTTGATAAAAAAAAAAATTTGCAATTAAATTTCAATAAAAGTTTGAATGATGAAATAAATTTATTTTTTCATAACTATAAAGATTTTCGTTTTGGTTAAAATTGATTAATAGAAAGAAAGTTTTGTGACCTTCTCTTTCTCATTGCAATAATTTGTAAGTTTAAATTTTCTCCAAAATAGAACTATTGGATGATAAATATAAAGAAATTATATCTTTTTAGTCTTTCTCCTTGAATTATACTGTTAAAATTGGGAATGCTAATTGAAAATCTTAATCTGGCTTAAGATAGATTAGAATTAGTGTGGATAGTTTTTACATTAAAAAATTATGATCATTTTATAAGATATTAATCTGATTCATCAATTCTTTTTATTTACAATTTACTATTCTCTCATAACTCTTTTAAATCCTAAACGTATAAATCAAGAGTAGTGGCTGATTTATTTTCTCACTGCAAAGATTGAGGAAGAAGAGAAGAAGGTTCTAATATGGTTCATTATTAATCTTTGATTCTTCATTTTAAGAACAAGATTTTGATTAATTGATTTAAACATAGCAGACTCAATCCATAAAAAATATATACTAAAATAAATAAAACAATATAAAAGAAATAATTTAGAAACTTAGAGTTTCTTGTCTTTGAAATATATATTAATTTAATATTAATTATAATAAAGGATGTCCATCGTAACAAGATTTGCTTCATATTTCATAAAGAGCAGAGTCATAAATTATTCATGTAAAAGATTAATATAGATTTTTATAGTATAAGTGGATAGAATAATGACAGAAATGTGTAAGTCAGGCTTTTAAGACCCAGAGGAAGGATTCTTAGAGAGAGATCCAATGAGTTATTATGAATGCAGATTCTATTCTCATATAGCTAGAAATTGGACACCAAGACTTGAATCATTGTAATTATTTATTTATTCATTTTGAATAAAGTGAGAAAGAATAATATGAATTGGCAAGATAAAAGTTTGTTCAATTTGAAAACCTTTACTCTTTCATTCTAGATTTACATAGAGCAACATGGGAATATAGATCACTGTATTTAGAACTTACCAAAGAAATAGCAACTCATAATACTTGGTTCAGAAGTGATCATACAACTTTAACTTATGAACATCACTTAGAAGAAGCCATTAATAAATATATTAATCTTTTAGATCAATTAAAAGATTATCCATTATGGTAAGAAAGAGTCAAAGAAGAAATTGGATATTATTTACATCTTATCTATAACTCTACCACCCATTCTGGTTAGAGTAAAGAATTGTTTGCTAAATTTGTATTTCAAATCATCTATATTTATTTTAGGATAAATTATATTTCTTCAAATGATTGCAATCATATGAATATGATAGTATTTGCATAAATATATAAATATTTTATCATATCTTTTTATCCTTACTAATCTAAAATTTAATGAATACTTCTAACTCAAAATATATGTTCATCATATCATTTTGCTTTAATAATATGTATTATATAGTTAAATTAGTGTATCACATTGACTTAAATTCATTTGGATATATTTAGAGATATTAATCATTAAAATAATAAATGATTGAAGACGATGAATCTGAGTGCTTCCTATAACTAAAACCATCTAAAAAGATTAAAAAGACTAGAAACAACGTTTTAAGAATTCAAAAACATTATGAAACTCTAAATCAAATGTAGGTAGCTGCTTCTGATCAAGAATAAACTATTCTAGGTTTGATAGACAAGCGCTCTTTATGTAATGCATTTAGAAATATACATATAGTGTATTCTAAGAATAAATTCATTACTTAATGGAAAGAAAACATATCTTAATCTCAGTCTCTAATTCATTTTAATTTGATTAAAAGTGAATCAGAAACTTTTGAAGATAGTGAAAGTTTTCTCAAATAACCTCAAAATGAATTGCTCATAGAAAACTATCTATTCTGATAGATACTCGTTCAAAAAAATGAGTTTTATTTATTATTTTTCCAAGTATCATTCATACTGCTTCAAAACTTTGCAAGCTCTTAAAACATATTATTCTCTTAAAACACTTTACAATTGGTGTCTTAACATATATTTTCCAGAAGATTTATTTAGATATTGCAAATATATTAAAATTATCAAACATCCCCTTCACTCATTCAGATAACGAATTTTGATTTTTTTTTTTAATTCATTCTGCTATTTAGGCTTTAACTAACTTATCTTTATTGCGAAAAAATTAATAACAGAATCATAATTACAAACTTAGATTATTTATCAAAGATGGTACGTCTTAATCTTCTTTTATATATATTTGATTTTAATATGAACTACTTAATTGTCATATTATCATTGTCAAATATACATTTTTATTTTATAATCAGCCTTTTATATTTAATTAACTATTTTTTAGCTTGACTTCCTATAATTTGCAGCCTTTTATATTTAATTAACTATTTTTTAGCTTGACTTCCTATAATTTGCAGAATAAAATATGTCATATTCACTATTCAAAATTTTGAAGATCATCATTTTATCATCTTGTTTCACTTACAAATAATTGTGTATCTTTCATACTTTTTACTAATTTCACTTCATAAACATTTTTCTGACAATCATTACTAATTGAACTTCATTTTAGATTGTTCTGACTTCTTAAAATAAAACACTATATTATATTTAATAAAATGATTCAATTATTATTTCTACTCTATCTTTGATTTTGAGATTATATTATATACTAGAATAAAATAAAAATTTATCTACAATTACCATAGCATAATGGATTATTTACTTTTAATCATCGATTTCCATGAATTCATTTAATTAGATGTTTTGTAGCATTTTATTCATTTGTTTCATTAAAATTATTTAATAATGATCTTAATACTTTTGTTTACACTACTGTATTATATTCATTGTATAATATTGATTTTAAATAAGTTAGGATTTAATATTAACAATCAAAATCTCTTAGTAGGTAGTATTAATATTTTAAGACATTTAAAAATTTATTAATAAAAATGATAAAAATGTTTTAATAAAACAGTAATTATTAATAAGTTTAATGTGATAATTTTTAGAACTGAAAGTCGTTAATAAAGAAATTTTCTATATATTAAAGGTATGAACTATCAAAGTTAAGAAAAAAATAAAAATTTAATAACCATAATATTGTTTTTTTATTTAATATCCAACCTCAAATACATCTAAGTAATAGTATATCTTCATCATAATTAATAATTAAAATACATAATACTAAATTTCAATACTAACTTTATCTAACTATAAATTATGTATTGAAAATAGTTAATTGTTATTTTTATTAGTGTATCTTTTTGTTATAATTCCGAATTTAATTTTTAAAACTTCATCATAGTCTTTTTCTTTTTTGAATTTACATCTTTTGCACTTTCAAAATCTCTTTAAGAGGTTTTTTTATAAATTTTCATGGCTTTAGATTTATTCTTCAAAAAATGAATTAATTTTAGATTAAAATTCTAATTCATCTTTCAATTAGATAGTTTCTTATGCTTAAGCTTTCATTTTTAGTAGTAGTAATTAAATCGTCTTAAAATTAATAAGAAGATTGTGAAAATTAATCAGAATAATTACTTGTATTTAAATTTGTAAAAATATTTTTTAATTCAATAAATTTATAATTTGTTCTAATAATGAGATAATAGAGAGCTGATTGTATAAGATTTTACGTAGGTGATATGATAAAATTTTAAGTATTGATTTGATTATCGAAATTTAAAGTATTTTGTATATTAAATGTTATAAGATTCTGCAAATTGTATTTAAAGTAGAAATAAATCTGATCATTACTAATGATTAATAGTAAGAAGTGCTTGAATTGATTCCTCATTGTTTTGAATAATTTAGAGATACCTAAATGAGGCATCTTTAGTTGGTTAATTGATTGGTATTTTATTCATAAATTAAATAACATGGCAGATTTTAATCCATAAGAGAGAGTTAAGAAGATGGTCAATGCCATAAAAGCTGAGGTAATTTTGATGATTATTTATTTGATTAGGCTACTGAGAAAGCTGAATAGATAAAGGATATGGCTGCTTAATAATTCAGAATTGAAAAGAATAAGCTTCTTAATTAATAGAAAGAGAAAATTATTGAAGAATATAAAAAAAAGATTGAATCATACACAATTGAAAAAAGAATGTATAGACATTAAATAAGTTTAGTTAACGATCTTCAAAAATTAATCAATCAAGATTGTCTAAAATGCAAGCACGCTTTGAATTAATCTAAAGGCTTAAAGAAGAAGTTCGTTAGAGAATGGCTAAGTTAATATAAGATTAAAGTGTCTATAAAGAATTATTAAAGAACTTAATTATATAAGGAATGATTAAATTACTTGAACCTAGAATTGAATTGACATGTTTAGAATAAGATGTGTAACTCATCAGATCTATTTTGGGAGAATGTTAAGAATAATTCACTCAAATTATCAAAAGGGAAACAACCAAAGATTTTAAGACAACATTAAGTATTAATTAGAGTTAATATCTAACAGAGAAAGCTGGTAAACCTATGTAAAATTATATTATTAACATTTTTATAGTTTGGGAGGAGTTGTCTTAAGTTGTGCTAATAGTAGAATTGTATGTTCTAACACTTTAGATGATAGATTAGAACTTTCTTTATAAGAATTCTTACCAGATATTAGAAATGGATTGTTTAAGAAATGAAAAAATGAGAGTATTTACAATATAAAAAAGCATATATATCAATACGCTAAGTAGTATGTTGTATCAACAAACATCTCACAATAATTATATCTAATTAGCTATTCAGAAAGCTCCTATTATAATTTATGCAATTTATTCACATTTTCTTATCTGTAGTTTCTCATTTTCTTAAAAATCTCTTTATTTCTTTCCATTAATTCATTTATTTATTATTCAGCTTATTTTGAATGATCAAATTTCTATACTAATTTTTGTATCATATCTTTTTTTTTCATTTTCATACCATCTTATTTTTATTCTTAGATCTTTAAACTTTCTATAAAAAATAACTATTCTAATAGTTTTTATTTTTATTATCTAAAATATGTTGATTAATCTACCATTTTTATTCTATTCTGACTTTTATTAAGAAATTTTAAAAAATAACTTTCACTTTATAAAGCTAATGTAAATTATTCAATAAAATAATTAATTTATACAAACCCTTTACTTTATTCATCTTATTTTAATAATGATTCCATTGACAATAAAGGTAATGCTAATAATCTATAATTATTTGGATGGATTTCTTCTGCAAATGGTAGAAAGAATCTTTAACCATAATATTCATAATAAGGAATTTTTGAATTGTTACTATTGAGGGATTATTATTAAGTTAATATTTGAAATGGTTAAATAACAATTAATAACTCTGGTTTCATAATTGAGAGATTAGTCAAAACTTTACTAATATTTACAACGAAAGTATCAATTTTATAATTCTAAATATGAAATCCACAATTAACTCTTAATTTTCTTTCTTAGAGAAATTCTTTTAATAATTAAGGGTATTAAACTGTAAATAAACCAATTTGATATACGCGAGATATAGAATTGAATAATTCTTTAAAATTCTTATGTATATAGAAGGATTAAGATGATGAAACTCTTTAAAAATAATGATCTCTTAAAACTACATATTCATCATATTATTTGCTAGTTATAAAATCAGATTATAATCCAAAAAAGTTTTATTCATCAAATCCTAAAACATTTTCAAATTATATCAAAACTAGATGATTAATATTGTTAGAACTTATTTTTGTATAGAAACAATCAACATTCATAGCATTAATAGTTTAATCAATAAAATTAGAAGTTGTTTGCTTAAGAGATGAACTAGAAATATCATTATTTATGATAGATTTTCTGATTATAAGTTATTATTGTAAATCTTTAAATTGATTAGTAATATTAAGAGCATTAGACATTTGTTTATTATTATTGTATTTAGGTAATTCAGAATGTTAATCAATAATTTTAGGCTTTGGACTCATTGAAAGTGTTCCAAAGTCTTATTTAGAGTCTAAAATGTATGATTTATCTATTTAATTTATTGAATTATCAAAATTTTTTAACAATGCTCCTTTATGAAGTCTACCTGGAATTCTATGTATTTCATGATTATGTGGTTTAGGAGGAGTTGGAGAAGGAGTCGTTATTTTATGTTTTAATTTTTAAACAAACTTATCAGTTTTGGTGGATGTATTTGGAACACTTTCGAAACAATTACTTACACTAAGAATAGATTCTGCTAATTTAGTGAAAGATTGTTTAACACATTTATTTCTGACAATATGCGGATGAATTTCTTTTGACTCTAAGTTAAGAGTTTTTTGCTTTATAAATGTTCTGTAATCATTTTTACATATTCCCATCATAATTTTTTTTGGAGAGTATGAAGTGTTGAGTCGATTAATATTGCTATTTGTGATTTATGACAAGTAATAATCATTGCAATAATAATACTCTACAGGATTATACATATAATATTTTTTATTAATTCACAAGAACAAAATCACTTAGCCCTCTCTACAAAAAATAATAAAATTTATTAATATTGATATGGTTATTATTATGACTCATAATTTATTAGCTTCCTACTAAGCTTTCTTAAAAACACAAGTTTTATTCCATTAAAACCACCATTTTATGTAATATTATACAAGTTTATCTTATGGATCTCTTTCTTTTCTTTTTAAAAACATAACAAAAATTTAGATTTTATTAGCCTTTATTTAATCCTTTATATTTTTCCAATTATTAAGAGTTTCTTCTTCTGAATAAAGTTCTTTTAATTTTTTTAGATCCTCCTATTTCTTAGATCTAATATATTCGAAGAAATAATTCAAACATTCTATTTCAAAATCAAATTCAAATTCTAAATTTTTTTTTTCTTAAAAATAAGATTGTATAATATTTTTAATTTCTTATTTGTCTATTTTATTATTTTAAATCTATGAAATTTCTTCTTCAAAATCAAACCAATCTTCAAACCAATCTTCAAAAAATTATAATAGTTCTTCTTCTTATTCCTTCATAGTTTTAAGATCATCTCCCTTTAAAATTCCTCTCAATTGACAATAAATAGAAATTTAAACATCTAAGTCTTTTTTATCTTATAATTTATCACTTGAGGTTATAATTGAATTATATATCATTTATCTTAGTACTTATATAAATGCATATTAACATAATAACAAAGTATTCTACCTTATTACTAATTCTTAATCTTAATCTTAATATTATTATATATCTTAATCATCTTAAGCAGATTGATATCCAGAGTTTTGTTTTAGTAATTCTTAATTACCTTCAATGTTTTGTTTAATTGATTTATCGTTTTGCTAGATAGAAACATACTCTTTGCTTTTTGCTCCTTATTCATTTAAAGCAGTTCCATTCTATTAATTAAACTAGTTTGAAGTGCTATAAAATTAAAATATCACTCGATAAGAATTGTATATAGTTCCTAATTGCTATATTTCTTTCGAGAATATATTCTATTAATGCTTTGTTTTTGCATTTTAATTTTCAGAACTTGAATTAATAAAATTTGAGTTAATGTTTTAAGCTGGAGTTTCATCCTTTGTGTTGTCTATTTCAAAATCTTTTGATTGGGATTTCTATTTTTAATTCATTAATTTAATTATTAGAAGTTATTTAAAAAATATTTTTTTTATACATATGCCGAAATTCTACAAATATTTAAGACATATTGATATGCTTGTTACACCTTATGAGTTTAATGTAACAAAAAGTTAGAAATCCTTAACAAAATTAGGTACACAAAATATATTTTTAGGTGGTTTTTTTTCAATTGCAATATTAGTACTCATGATTGTTTATACAATAAGTATTTTTATTTCAGCAATTTCAAAATCTGGATCTATTTATGCAGGAACATAAACTACCAGCGATTTTTAGTATTTAGATTAAAATACCTCTCGTTTTTTATTATAACTATCGTATGCATAAAGTGGAGAAATAATTGAATATGATTAAGAATTTTAGACGTAAATAGTATATTTAAATTACAGCTATTTATAATTTAAGGTTGAATATGTTCAACAAATAAGACCATAAAATACATCTATGTATAGAAGAGAAATTAATTAACTTAATTTATCATAATGTTCATCAGATGTTATTGATAATTTTAAATTTAATTCATAATCACTTTCAGAAGATAGAAAACTTAAATTTGTATGTTTTAATGGAGGGTACAAATTATCTGGCTCATTTTTTGATCCTACATACAATTATTTGAAAATTTCAATAATTAGATGTATGAATTCTACAATTTGTAAATCTATAGATTAGGTTGAAAATTTATTAAATAAAGGGTATGAATCAAAATTTAATTTAGAATTAATGTAAATATTTTCATTTAGAATTCTAAAATCAAATAAACATTAAATATGACACAACCTTCTGAATAAAGTGCATATATAGTATTTTGGAGATTAAATGCAGGAATAGCAAATGGTGAAGATATTTTTTTATAGCCAATATTAATTGACTTGATAAATAGTAAAAATGTTTTTACTTCTTTAACAAATGATGATGATGCAAGAACAAGAATCTTTAGATCATCAAAAGTTGAAAAATAAGAGAGAAGACAATATCCTATTATCTTAAACAAAACAGATGAATTATGTGCATTTTATTTAAGAACTTCTTCTGATTCTTAATATTTTTTTGCATCAAAAACTGAACCATTTAGTGTATTTCTTGATGCAGTCTCTTAAGCATCTGGATTAACTGTAGCAATTTTAGGATTTGCTAAAATACTTTATAAAATTTATATTGCTCATGAAACTTATGTAAAGGTTATGAATTAAGTTTATAAATTTGATTTTAGAGATAATACTACGATTAAAGAAAATGAAAGTTTTGAATCTAATCAAAAATCAGATAAGAGGAAAGGTTTAGAATAATTATATTCAAATTAATTAGATTATTCATTTTGTACTTATTTACAAATTGAATTACGTAAGATATTGGGTGATATTTGTTTATTTAAATATTGTTGTAAAAAAAGTTATAACAAAAAAACTATTATGGCTTAAATTGCTAAATCTAAGATTATGTCAGATCTTGAATTATCTAATATAGTCAAAAAATTATATGTGATTGATTCATTGAAATTATTTTTATTTGATGATGTTTAATTGAAATTATTCAATAGTTTTTCTGAACCAGTTATTTATAAAAAAATCACAGATCATAAGGATGTATTCAAAAATATTAATAAAGACTATCACAGGTCATTAATGAAAGGATCTCTTTTAGAAAAATATTAGTTTAAAAATTAAGTTTCAGTCCCAATGGATTTCAAAGATGTTTTCTCATCTAAAGGTATTTAATTATATATTAACATTTATCAGTCCCTATTGAAATGCAATTATCTAAAGTTTCTCGATTTTTTAAAGCACAAATAAAAGCTTAAAATGGAGAAGAATTATTATAAGCTTATTCTAAAATATAGTAAGGTGAAAATTTCAATAAAAAGATGAATGAATAGTTGCTAAACTTTATTTAATACAATACAATTTTATATTAAATGATTGACTTATCACATAAAGTAAGATTTTTAATTCAAAATAGAAATGTTCTATAAAATCTATCGAAAAAGAAGAAATTAAATTTGTAAAAGCTCGCTCTTAATATTCCAAAATTAAGTAATAATCTAAAAATTTTGATGAAAATTATATTATTGATGAAGCAAAGGAATCAATTTCTGCTAGATCTCCAGATTCTGAACTTTCAATTTAGAAATATAAATACATAGTTGCCAATAATGGAGATAAATAAGTAGAATAATAGGATTTCGATGTTATATAGGAAAAGGAAGGAATTTAAATAAGTGAATTCGAAAACTAATCTAGTTAAAAATAATTAAAAAATCTTTGAATTTATCAAATTATATATATATAAAATAGTAGTTATATATGAAATAATATTTCTAAATATTCCTATATTGTTTTATTTAAATTATAAGAAATATTTTCTGAATAGCCCTTTACAAAAAAATCAATTAGGAGCAAAAAATTTTTATTTGATTTAAATAAAAATAAAAAATTTTACTTAGAATCTATTCATGGAAAATTAAAACAAAAATCCAGTAGAAACTGAAGAGGAAGGGTAAATTTTGAAAAAGTAATAAAATTAATAAGATTAATAAAAAAATGAAAACAAAGAAGTTATACCTAAACTTAAAGAATAAGAAGCTAAAAATGAAAAGTAAAAACATGATAATTCATCAAAAAATGATTAATAAGTAATAAATAATTTGATTGAGAATGGTAATCAATAAAAGAATGAATAATAATAATAACAATAAAACCCAGTATAAATTGAAAATGAGTACTTAAATATTCTTGAATATTTAGAAAGATAGTTGGAAAGGTATAGAAAAATAGAAGCTTAATGTGTTTCACAAAAAGATAAAGGGGTTCTTAAACGTATAATGTTAACTTTTGAGAGTTAATTAGAAAAATTAAAATTTAATATAATAGAACCTATAACGAATGATGTCAGCAACTTTGGTGGAATTAGTTTAATTAAAGAGCTAGAATAGACAGAAGAGTCTTTTTTTTCTAAGTCTAAAATATAATCTCATCTTAAAGAGATTTATAAATTCTACTCTAAAATATTCTATGTAAGAGGTCCATCAGATGATTTTACAAGAATCAATCATGAATCATAAACTTTAACAGAGGGTAAGTTTATGATTTTTTGTCGATAATTTGGATTGTTAGATGAGAAGATCCATCATATAAAAACACAATCATCAAAATATGTATAAACTAATAGAATATTAAATGATACAATTACAAATAAAAGTAATAAAATTTTTCCATCCTCTCAAAGGAATCCTTAATAAGAAAATATGAGAATCTTGTCTTTTAAAGAACTTGTATATTAATTTGCTTTATATATTAGAATCTACTGTTTAGGAGAGTTAATCAAAATTAAAATGAAATTACCTTTATGAATTTTATTCTTTTATTGAGAGAACTTTCTAAATTTATGTTTTAGGAAGATTAAGCCAAAGCAGAAATTAGATTATTTCGATACATTGAAGTAGATACAACTTAATTTAAAAAAAAAATGAAATCTTTGAATATTCCATTTGAATCTAAAGATGAATAAGGATTTAGAAAACCTAAAGGATTGTAATTGCAAAAATTTATTAATTATTCAACAGATTAACTTAAATCTAAAAGAATATTAGTAGAAGAATGGAAAAATGTAAAAAAATAAGAATTGAGAGATAAGATAATATCATAAATTGATTAATCAAGATCAAAATCTATAGTTTTTGAACCTTCTTATAGAAAGACAAATAATTATAGAGAAAGAAAGTTAAAAAAAATTGGTTTAGATGTAAATTCTAATTAGATTGTTAATTGGGAGAAATTAGATAAATTAGATCCATAACTTTTATTACATGAAGAATTCAGACCTGAAGATCTTATAGAAGAAAATGATGATGAAGATGACAATTATTATTTAAAAAGTTATGATTTATCAAAATAGAATAATAAAATTATAATGAAGTATAATTAAGATTATTATTTAGGATCTCATCATTAGATTAGAGATAATAAAAATATTAATTAAAAACTGAATATACAAAAAGATAAATATAGAACATTTCAAAATTATCACAATAAAGTGACTAAAAGTCAGCTTATCTAAAATTGCCAAGATTATAGTATAAATGATAATAAATATTATTTTATAAAATTTTGTAATTAAACTTGATGATTATTAAAGAATAAATTGATGTAAAATTAGTATATAAAGTGATGATTAATAGAATAAATGTGAATTAGAAAAGAAAAATAGCAAGTAGATTTCAGAATAGGTGGATTATATATTGTTACTTATATTTACAGTGTTTATGAGTTGTAATTAAAAATTGAATATTTAACTTCTCTTGTTTTACCACTAGTGAAAGAGAATGAATAATTCAAAAATGAAATGAGTATTTGAAAATGAATAAAGCATGTATACTTTTCTTGATTTAACAAAAAAAAAAGTGAATTTTATATATTAATATGGATAAATTGTATAATTCATTGGCTCCAAAATTAAAAGGGATAGCAAACTCATATAAAAACCTGGCTTCTCATACTAAATAGATTGCTTCTAATACTATAGATAAATTAAACAAATAAGCAATTTCAGGAGACATTGTGGGAATTAGTAATAGATTATTTTGGATGGAATATCCATCAAATGATAAAATAGAAAAATTATCGAGTTATTTAAACACTAATCATCAGAATCATTACTATATATGGAATGTTGGAGAAAGAGTGTTTACAACAGAATGGTTTTGCAATTAAGTAGAGTGAAAAAGTAAGTAGGTTGCCAATCATTCACATCCAGGATATCCATGTCCACCATTGATCGAGTTGTTGATGATTTGCAAAAATATAATCTATTTTCTCAGTAGTGATAGGAATAACATAGCAATTGTGTGTTGCCAAGAAACAAGAGGAAGAAGTATTATGGTGATATCTTCTTTATTGGCTATTATGGGAGCTGGTTATGTAATAAATTAAATATATTATTAAATCTTAGCCTGGTGAATGTTTATTACTTGTCTGTCAAAAAACAAACACAAAAGATTTTTAGGCATTATTTCCATCATAACATCAATATATCACTTATGTTGGGAATGTTTTAAATGGTCTTAAATTGAATAGTTTATGTTTGAGATTGATTTCTATTGTTGTGTCTGGAATACCAAAAGTTCAGAATTGCACTATGTTCAGACCATATATTTAATTATTCAAAAATGATAAACCTATTTTTAATTCATTGACTGATGGTGAACTCAAAAACTATTAATAAGGAGATTTAAGTTGTATATTTGACCTTAAAGGAATTGAAGTAAAATTATTATATACTTATTTTTAGTTATCAGATGATATATTGGTTAGATGCAAACATTTTGAAAATAATAAAACAAGAGTGGCTTTATTTAGAGTTATGTTTAATTGTTCATTTATATTTGAGAATGTTCTTAGAGTATATGATAGAGAATTGGATAAAAGTCCATAAATGAAAACTGAAAAAGATTTTTTTGTTGATTTTATTTTTGAAAGAGGGAATTAAAAATCATTTTAAACTGCAGAAAGACCTTAAACTTTTAGTAATGATACAAAATCTTCTAATTAATTATTATTATAAATTGTTTAGGAATGTAAAGGATTAGTTTTTAAAGAAAAGCATATAATTGATGGTTTAGAAGTATATTAATAATCATAAAAAATAAAAGAAGAAGTATTTAGTTTAGGTAATGAAACAGAAAAAAAAGATTATGAAGATTCAGATGAAAAATTACCTGATTAAAAATAATCATAATAATAATCCAATATTAAAATCTAATAAAATGAGATTTAACCATAATAATTATTTGTAGAGTAAGCAAAAAGCTAATCTTAATAATAATTAGAATAGAAATTATGTATTTAATAATAATAAGAGAAATAAGTTCAATAGGAAAAAAAAGAAGAGAAAATAAATTAATAATAAAAGGAGAATGGATCAGATGAAAGTGAGGATGATGATGAATAGTTTGTTGCAAAGTATCAATAAAAGTTTGAACAAAAGATTGAATAATAGAATATTTAAACAAAAACAGGAGATAGCGATGAAGATTGTGATGATTTCTTAGATAATTTAATTAAAGAAGGAGATAAACAAGAATGAATTAAAAAATTAGTAATTCTAATTGATAATATTATTAATATATTATTAATGTAAAAATTTCATCTGTTTCTAATTGTTGCAGTATTAAGTTGTGATGTAGATGAAGCTGCAAAGGCTTTCAAATAAAAATAAATTCGTGATCCTATTTTCCCATATACTAAGAATCCTTATGAAATAGTGGATCCTATTTATTTATAAAAAGTGTCTGATAATTTGAAAGATAATACCAGTGTTTGTGCTATTAAATATGATGATTATGAAAAATAAATGTAATTATTATGAGATCATAAATTTTAGATACCATTTAAAACACTTTAATTCAAAAGAAGAAGCAGAAGAGAATTAATTTATTGTGACTCATCAGGGAAAATGTGGCGCATGCTCTACTTTATAAGATTTAGCAGTTTATCTTACAACAGATTTGACTAGACCAGTGAGAAAATGTGGATTAATGTTTGGATTGTCTCATCATCATCTTTTGAAATGTATCAAAGGTTTAGGATTTAGTGATACTTGTGCTTAAATTTGGTTGTATAATACTTTGAATACTAAGAAATCATGTTTTTGGCCTTGTATGTAATAATTATATTTTAATATTTTTAGAGTGTCTTTTTTAACTAATTAAGACTTTGTAAAAAATGGAAAATTAAATAAATGCTTATAATGTGATGAAGATATTTCTGGACCTATCTTTAAATATGAATCTGGAAGAACAAGACGTAATTCAGGAATTAAATCAGAAATTGATAGACCAGATGATTAAATTTATGAGATCACTCATTGTTATTATTGAATATGATAAATAATATAATAATTAAATATTATTAATAATTAACTTAATCTCATACTTCTGGAACAAACTCTCCTAATCCTACTAATTTAGCTAAATATTTTCCATATTTAGTTAAAAAAGTAGATAATTTAGGTGTATGTGATTCAATTTTAACTGCACATAAATCTGAAATAGTAAAATAAATAAATCCATTATCTGCAGCTGCCTAAATACTTTATTTTTAATTACATCCATAATAGCATTAACCTATTTAGTACGATTTATGGGTAATTGCAATTCTTCCTATGCTAAAGTTTAGAATTCTTCACCAAAAATCATTTAGTTCTTAATAACTTATGGTAATTCATCAGTTGATCTAAATCTTAAATCCATATCTAAATTTTTAAAATGTTTTAGAAATGCTAGTGGAGGAGATTCTAATGCTTCTTAATCAATTCCTTATACAAATTTTTCAATTCCTTAATAAAAGTTCTTTGTCAAAAATAAATTCAATTCAGCTCTTTTATTTATTATTAATAATACTCTTTACCTAATTTATCTTAAAAAAGCTGCTCCAACTCTTTCTCCTTTTGATACTGCCTATACTAATTAATCAAAATCATAATTTGCATCAAATTCAAAATTGAAATAATTATCTTAGCTCTTAACCATCTCTCTTAATCCTTCATTTACTACCTTAATTACCATTTTCTAAAATTAATTCTAATCCTCCTTTTAATTTACTCTCTTCATCTTCTCTTAATTTTACTGAAAAATAAACATATGTATCATCTGAGTGAATCTTACATTCAAAGGCCTCAAAACGTGCTAATTAATTAATATAACTTTCTACGTCTATCCTTTATTTTTGTTATTGATTCTATTAAAGCATCTTTTTTTCCAACTTAATATCTAAGAAAGCATACTAAAGACCAATCTATATCAATATGATCTCCTACAATGTTTTTCAAATAATCATATTAATCTATTGCTTTTTATTCATTAAAATGGGCTTCAGCTCTCATGTTTTATAATACCAAATTCATTACCTGAATGATACTGGACCCTTTTCAAAATCATCTCCGAATGTCACACCTACTCTAGATTATTCATAACTTTATTATAATGGATTAGCTTAATCTTTTTTAACTTAATTCATATTAATTAATTATACACAAAAAAATCACAATTTTTTTTATGTTAATAAACCCATAGATTTATTTAGGTATCGTTTTGGAGATAATAATAATAAACCTGCCTAACATGTCTCTATTGAATCTTTTTACATCTTCAATATTATATTTCCTAAAAAACCTATTATACAAAATCCTGCTACTCCTACACTTAATGTAAAAATTAACAATGTTTATTTGTAAAAATTCAAAGATTAATCAAATTACTTATAAGCAGTGTCAATTATTTACTTTTAAGCTTTAATTAATAATTCACTTCCATAATCTATGTAAATTAAATGTTCTTAACTTTAATAAAATTCCACAATTTATTCATCTCTATTTTATACATTTGTATCATCAAAAAATTAAGGATATTGAGAAATAATCTTATCAACTTATGTAAACAAAGATTTTAATCCTTATTAATAATAAGGTAGAAGCCAAGGATTTAATATAATGGCATCAGATTATTCGCAATCAATTCCTATTCCATTCTCACATATATTATCTTAATTTATAATATCGAGATCATTTTTTAAATTATCATCTCTTAATGCTGAAAGAAATTAGTTTGAGTATTATTCAAAGTAATCTGTTGTATCACCACTTAAAACTGATGCATAAGATTTATAATTCTTTACTGACATTATATTATCAAATAATTTATTATTAACATTTGAAAATGCTACCAAATCCATATTATTAATTAAATTAATTACTGAAGATTAAACCAATTTAAATTTAAATAGAATTTCTACATTAGACAATAGATCTTTTGATAAAATAAAAATAACTAAGAATATTATTAGAAAATATGCTAATATAACAAATAAACCAACCATTAAAATTACAAAATATTTTACTTATCTCATTTAAGATTTCTGTAATTTCTCCATTAATTTAAATTTATTTTTTTTATTTGATTATGAAACTGCTCCTGAACTAATATCAGTATGCATCTCTCTTCCTGGAGTAAGTGCCTTTTTTTTATGTTCTCTACTACTCTCAAACATTTAAGATTCTTAAACAAAATCAATTAACATCCATTCATAAATAGATTTTTTAAATATTGCAACAACTGTTTCATAAATTTCTATTTCATCATTGACTTCATTCAATTATAATTTTAAAATTTCTTTATAAAATGTTCTATGATTCTTTCTTAATTTTCCAATTAATGGAATATGAGAGAATTATAGAATCATAACTAAGAAAAAGATGACTACCATGTAAATGATTAAAAGAGTCTAATAATTATTTTCTTTTGAAATCTTATAGTCAAAACACAAATCATATGCCTTTTATGGTAATTATCCAATTCCCTCAAGATTGGCAACAGATGCTAAAGTTAAAGAGGTATTATATTTTAAAATATTACTTGTTTCATTTTACTTTAACTTATAAAATTATCCAAGTGTGAATTGAATAGTTTATTAAAATGTTGGTTACATCTATACTTCATCTTCTATATCATAAAATTAATCTAAACTCACTTATGCTTTATTTATTTCAATAATTTAATTACTTGAAATATCTATTAATTCTTATAATTCAGAAAAGATTTACTTTTCATAAAATTACTTTAAATTATCAATATTATCAATTTGTAATAAATCTGATAATTCAAGTCGATATAAACTATGAGTAATTTAAGAATAAGATTTTTATGTTGCTATCATTAATTCAAGTAAATTATAACATTCAGTAAGATCATATTATTTTTATACTGCAACTGATATAAGGATAATATAACTAATTATTAGAATGAATGTTGTAATCAACAAATAATTTTGAATTTTGTAAGAGTTTGGATTTTTCATATCTAAAACTTTTTGTTCGACAACTTTAAATTATGAATCAAAAAGTTTTAATCCATCAGAATATTTGACTTGAAACTCTTCAAAGATTTATTATTAAGAGCCTTTGCTTTCTATTGGCATTTTAGATTCATTATCATTATAGAAATCTTATTGTTTTTTTTTTTAATTAATTCTATTAAGTGTTTTTAAGGCAATTTCTTTTTCTGGGAATTTCAAATTTTAGTATGATCCTTTGAATTAGATTTCTTCTCTACTATGTTCTGATTTAACAGAGAAATGACTCTTTTTTTTGAATTCTCCTTAAGTTTTTGTATCGTTATCTAATAATGGTTTACTTTGTCTATGTCTATCACTTAAAAGAAGACCCTCTGATTTACCATCTTATCTAGGACTATAAATTTAATCTGTTTATAGAATCTAATTATTTTCTACAAAATATATATCTTCATAATAATGAGAAGGATGAGATGGAAAATTATAATTAATTACGTCTCCTTCATGAATACTTCTTTATTCACTAATATTACCTTATATACTCATAGAATCTTCTCCTCCTTCTGTTCTTTATTCTAACAACATCTTTTTCTATTGGTAATTTTAATAAGTCTACTTGATAGTCTCTCTTAATTATCTTTTATATCCCTTCTCTGTATTTAACAATTATTAATCATTAACAATCAATTCAATTACAAACATTTATTATTTAAGATCTGTATCATTTTTCTTATATCGATATTCCTCATAAGATACAGAATAAACAACTGGTATTGGATTAAAATCTTAAGGTGTAAATTTCTCTATATATTTAGAGTATCTATCTTAATATATCTTTTCAGCTCTAGTTTTTAGTTATTCACTATCTTCTTCACTACTTATTGTCTATTTATCAGGTATTGATGATTTTGATGAAGGTATTCCTTAACTCTTTTGCATTTCTGATTATCTAGTTTAACCAAACAATAATGCTTAATGTCTTTTCAAATGTTCATCATAAAAAAATACACATAATTTCTCATTAAAAATAGTAACTGCTTAAACTAAACCTTATTAATCACTTTCTTGATAATCACTTTTTTATCTGTAAGCACTTCCAGAAGAAAAATTGTTTGATTAAACTCTTAAATCATCTACAATCTTTGATATTACTTTCTCATATTATTGAACAAATAAATGTAAATCTTCAGGTATAAATAAATAAGTTTCCTTATTCTAAACAACTTAATTTCCATTATCTAAATCAATTAAATTAGCATATCTATTTTTAGGAGCATTCTATCCATTCATTAAGAATTCTATCCCTGTTGATTCTATTTCTCTTGAAATAAATGGTAAAATCATCCAAATCAATACCTTATTATAAAAATCATCTATTTATAATATTGCATTTGACCATTTCTAATCAAATACATCATAACTCAATATATTTTATTATAAATACCTTTCAGATTCTAATGAAGAATTTTCTGACTTTGATTTTTATCTACATATTATCTCATCATTTTCAAAATAAGTTGCTTCTTTTTTATTTGTTACCATTCTCTATAATCTCTCTATCATTTTATACAAACCTTTTGTTATACCCATAATATTTCCATTTACATCAAATAATATATGTTAAGCACCCTTAAATGCTATATTCTTTAATTTCTTTCCTTCATCTCCTTTAAACTTTGGTTACTCTTCTTCTAATGATTTTAAACATCCTATCATTGTAAAATCATCCTCTAATTCTTAACTAAAATTATTTGCCAAATAAACTTAACATCTTATCAATGTTTTATCATATAATTTTGCAAATGTTTAAAAATACTTCCCAATTCTTGCTGTTACTCCTCTCCTTATATAATTTTACATTATTTCATCATGAATAGGTTCAAGCCAATTTGGCATCAAAGTATTTATATTACCTTTTGTGAAATCAATAAATGAATTAATTGGATTTGGAAAATTACCAAACCCAAAAAATTTTGGAATCAAAGGAGATATTACTTTATTCAAAACCTTTCCTATATTTGGACCAAATGCTATACATACTTTTACTGATATTGCTTCACCTTTAAAAAAGTTTATATTTGTTATTTCAAAAGAATTCATACTCTTCTCAAATTAAAGAATTTCTCGCCTTTCTAATTATTATATTATTATTTACCTTTCTCCATCTCAAAATATTTTCTTACATTATTAAACAACAATAAATTTATTAAAGCATCAACTTTCAAAAATTGCACATTAAAAGTTCTACCATTATGATAAAATATTTGATAATAAATATTAAATTAATACATTACATCATCTCTTAATTTCTATAATCTTTTTATTTCTTCTTCAATTTAAATGTAATCTGAAAATTTACCTTCCTTAAATGACTTCCAAAATTAAGATTTAAATTAACTTATTTCTGTTAAAAGAGGTATCATATTTTATTTCACTTACTCCATTTAATAGAGATTTTAAACTATACTTCTTTCACTTTTGCTAACCTATAATTTCACATTTGAAACTCTAGTCTCTTTATTAATATTATAATCTTCATCTTTCTACATTTATGCTTAGAGTATAAACTATAATAATAAACACATTTATATAAAATAAAATGAATAATCTCGCTTTTTCTAAAAAAAGATCTTTAATTCTTGATAAGTTTTAGGGGCATTATGTTTATATTTATTTATAAATGTTAAGAATTTCAAACTGAATATTTCAAAAACCCTTAAATCCTAACAGTTTTATTTATGTTTCTCAAAACTTCCTTTAAATAAACATGAAATCAATAATACAGTTTCATCAAATAATAATATTTTAAATGATCCTATTTTTCTACATTAACATTTAGTTGAATGACATCTATTCATATGAAGACTGAATTTTTAAATTAATTCAATCTCCTTAGTTTTATTCTTCTATGCCAATTGACTCAATTCAAAAAAATCTTCTATATATAATAGTTCATAGTATTAATTATTTGTCTTATTTATTGAAAGATAAGCATTAGCTCTTTTGCTATCAAAAACAATTTAAAACAAATATTATACAACTGGCTACATAATTAGCATTATTGTTGCCAAACTATGAGGATTTGCAGTACTTAACGCTATAATGGAAGAAAACAGAAATACTACCGAATGAGTCATTAAAGCTCGATTAAATATATATCCTTATTATGAAAATCTAAAATAATTTTATCAATTACTTACCCAAAGGGTAATTAAAAATATGCTTCATAAATTTACATCAATAAAATTAATCCATGTAGAGTTCTACTCATTAATTATGTTATGTCATCATTTTTCAAATAGAGAATAGCCATTGGAATCACTAAAGTCTATGCAATCAAATTATTATAGGAAAAATGCTTTCTTAAATGTTGTTCATTGAATTCAAAATTTACAAAATAAACATTCGAAATTATCAAACTTAATACTGTGAAAATTAGAACAATTATAGATATAATTACAAGTGAGGTTTCTTATTAGATAAAATTCCATCCAATATAGTATAATTAAGGTAAATACAGAAACCAAGTAAAATATAGAAAATAAAAGTTTATTATCATCGTTGCAATCTGTAAATATTATAATATTCATACTTGTAATATGCTTTTAGAAATATTACCTACTTCCTTGTTCACATTCTTTATTTTTCTATAAATTACAATTATGTATGGAATTACATTTATTACTATTATAATGACTCCAATCAATAAGTTGATTTCATATTTCTCTATAAATAATGGAGTTATCAAACTAATCCTTGATAATGCATTGATTAAACGATAAATGTATTCATTATTTTCACTTATTAAGAAATATGTTAACTACAAATAGTAGACTGTAATCTAAAATGTTGTGAAATAAGAATTATTTAAAGATGGTGAAAGGTTTGTTTAAATGATTAAACTTATGAATTCCCTTAAAAAATTCCATTTCATATTTAAATCAATTTTATTATTACAGAAATTATCAAAATTAAGATAAATATATTTAACTTATTATTCTAAATCATTTTCAACAATTTAAGGAAATATTTAATTTTATAAAATCCTAAGATCATTCTCTTAATTTTTCTTAATCTTACTCTCTATTAACAAAATAATTTATTTATAGTATAATTTCGAATAATAAGTTTATTATTATTTGTTTTTCTGAAATTATATATATATTGGTTTGCATTTATTTTTTTTATTGAAGTATATATTTATATTTATTCAAATCATATTATCTTATTTAAAATAAAAATATCTTTATTAAGAAAAGAAATAATTTAAATTCTCACATTCTTAATGGGCTATTTTTATAATATTTAATCATAATCTATATATTTTTGAAATTTAGCTATAAAAATTAAAGAATTCAACAAAGAATAAGTAATCTCAACAATTTGTAAATGGATTTAAAAATTTTAAATTTATTCTATTTATTTTACATTAAGTTGAAGAAGATTCAATAACAAAACATAGTATTTACTTAAAACTAAATATCATCAATATTCTAACTAATTCTACAAATATAAGATATCTTATGTGTAAAGAAATTTTAATTTATAGAGCATTAATTACTTAATTTAGAAATCTAACTATAAATTAATGAAGAATTTATTTATAATTGGTTGCCTATTATAGCTCATAAATTCTGTTTCAATAGGAGTTGAAGGTGGGACAGCTAAATGTTTCTTTTTTGATGGTTATGATGGGTAAGTAGTAAAAGTGCCATATGTTGTTACAGGTATAAATGAAGAAAATGTATATGTGGAGGTATAAATAAATTAAGATTAGTTATTTGAAACAATTTTAGAAAATGATATTGAATATAATGTAACTTTAGAATCTTAAGAGAGAAAAAGAGAAGGATAATTAAAACATTTTGTAAAAGGAAAAAAAGAAATTTATCTCTGCTTTTAATCAAATGATAGTTATTATAAAATATTTAGCTTTGATATAGATATTAGTGGAGTTGATAAGAATTTTGCTGATAAAAGTATAATTATTATTGAATTAATTTAGATTAAATGGATGAGACTGAAGGATCATTAAAATAAGTTTTATCAAAGATGCATAAAGTATATAGAAATTAACACTTTTAAATTGATAGAGAAAATTATCATGAGAAATGTATATGCTTGAATAAAATATAATCTTAGTGATGGAAAGTACTGAAAATTAAGTAAAATGGTGTGCATTATGTAAAATAGTAGTTTTGATGAGTGTGTGTTTAATATAAATTTATATGCTAACTAATTTTTTTAAGGATAAGAGCTTTGGGCCAAGCGTTTGAGTATTTTTAAATAAAAATATAAATAATAGATAGATAGATAGATAAAATTTATATAAATTAATTTTTTATTTAATCACTCTATAAAACATAAGGTGGAATTAGATTAAAAGATGTTCTTTAAAAATAAATTAAGTTATTTTAATAATATATATAAAATTTAATTAATTTCTTTAAAAAACTTTTTTGGTTTTGAGATAATTTATATTTTGTTGAAATGTAATACATGTGATTTAGATAATACTAGCATAAACTTAAACTTATGATAGTAAATCAAAAGAATAAATTGTTAATTTATAAATTACTTTAATGACATTTAATTTTGAAATACTAAACAGGAATATGAAATAAAAAGATTTATTTTTCATTTGAAATTATTTTCAATAATTATAAATAAAAAGGATTATTGAAGTAAATGATAATTTTTGCATTGTTTTTTGTAGTGAGCCAAGCTGAATATGTGAAACAAATTCTTCATGATCTATCTGATTTAAGTGACTTTACGTTTGAACCACAAATATATGTATGCTCAATTTTAGATTATGACATGATTCTTTTAGATCAAAAAAATCCTTCACTAACCCTTAATACATCTATAGACAAAGCCCACTATTTTATACATCTTTATATTGATTATATGTTTTTAGGATAATGGTAAGGAGAAACTATATAAATTATGCTAAATAATACTGTCATAGATGATTATAAATACATATGGAATATTGACTCTAATTAAGGATTTATTTGTAGTGAGTATAAATATGTTTTATTCTTTTTAGAACATCCCCCTAAAATTATATCACAAGAGAAATACAATTTTATCATATAAATTAGTATTTAGAATTGAAATTTCAAATAATAGAGGGAGATTTTAAATAATAAGTAGATTTTCCTCCTTAACTTGGAATAAGAAATATTTAAATTAATGCTAAAGAATGTCATCCATTATGTTCTAGTTGTAGTGGTCCAACAGAAAATGACTGCAGAACATGTCCATAATTTGCAAAAAAAGGCAAAATATCAAATTAATGTAAATGTCCAACTTCAATTCCATTTATATATTTTGATATTTGTATTGCTTATTGTCCAAAAAATACTTTTAAAAATGAATATAACATTTGTTTTGGAAGCACTTTGATTACAAATATAGAAACTTCACTTTTAAATTCTTTTGATCATGGATAAAAAAATAAAACTTCTTTGTGGTTGTTATCTCAAACCAGAACTACTTAAAGTTAATTATTATTTAGACATAAGGACAATTATTTAATTGGTATGTTTGAAGAAAGATAGATGCTCACAATAAACTAAAATAATTTGATTGGACATCATAGAATAAGAGTAAGGTTTAATTTATTTTTATTTTATTCTTGGGCTGTTAATGAATATATTATCACAATTATAGATTAAGTCATTTAAAAGCCATTATTGTATAGCAAGGATGGATTTATCAATTATGTAAATAAAGATTCATGTATTAATTAAGAGGTTATTGAATGTTAAGTTTTCATTGTAGATTATTATCTTAACCATACCAGTGATAATGTATAAATTTAAATTTATAGTGAAACCTACAAATAAAGTAGTTCAAGATGGGCTATCTCTGATTTCTTTGTAGATATTTTAAGATGTTCTTAAAATTGTGAAAAATGCTTAAATGATTAAGAGTGTTCGAAATGTGAAATAGGATATTTTTTATTGAAATCGTAATGTGTAATAACTTGCCCCTTATCCTATAGTATTTAAAAAGATAACAATTGTTTAGAAATGGATGATGAAACTTAATGTATTTTAATAATAATATAATATTAGAATCAGAATATTTATTAAAAGAATTAATTTAGACAAAGTTACATGGTATGATGCCTAATAAAACTAGTTATTTTAATGGATATCGTCATTTAGGAGGACTCTAGGTTTTAAATACTAGATTTGTTAAGTAATTTGAATATTTGAAACCCCATTATTAAATAAGAGCAGCATTCAAAGTAGATTTATTAAATATAGGATAATCAAACGGATATGTAATAGTAATTTTAGGAAATTATTCACATGAAATTACTACAAATCCAGTTAAATTATATGAAAGTACAACATTAAATTTTAATTTTGCTCATTCTTCATAATATTTGAAATTGAGTATTTATTCATATAGTTAATCAACATTTTTTAAATCAGGAATTTCTAATATGAGAATAGTTATTGATTATTGTTACCCTACTTGTACTGCTTGTATAGGACCAACAATATAAGAATGTTTATAATGGTCTTATGATCCTAATTATGATAGATTATAACATTCTTGTTTATAATAAACATTTTTTTCTAATGATTCTTGTACATCTTGTGATTAATAATGTTATTCATGTAATAAATTAAACTATTGTATAATTTGTTAATCAGAATTTACTTAATCTGGATAATCATGTTATTGTAATAAAGGTTATTATAAGGATGAATAAAAAGGTTGCTTGAAATGTATTGATAAATGTTCTGGATGCTTTGGACCATCCTTATAAGATTGTTATGATTTATAGTTTAAAGAAATTGTTTGTGATGTTTAAACAGGATATTAAGTAGGATAGGAATGTAATGATGGTAATTATAAAATAAGAGATGGTTGTTCTAATTGTATTGTTGATATTGGTTGGACATGTTAAAATAAAATTGGATAAAATTCAAATTGTATTAAATGTCCTGAAAATTGTACTGATTGTAAATAAAATCAAAATGAATTATAATGTTTATAGTGTAAATCTGGTTATTTCTTTTATTAAAATGGATGCTTCTAATGTAAATTTGAATGTCTAGAATGTAATTATATTGATTAATGTACTAAATGTAGAATCCTAACTTTCATTCCATAAAATGGAAAATGTTTAATTTGTAAAAATGAAAGTGGATACTATGAAATTAATGGATAATGTTAATCAAAATGTGGAGATTATCTATAAACATTAGAAGAACAATGTGATGATGGTAATTTAATTGATGGTGATGGATGTTCCTCTAAATGTATAATTGAAAAAGGTTTTTAATGTTATCAAGGAATTTGTTTATTTATTGAAACCTAAACTAAAATGAAATTAAAATATTCAAATAAAACAACTACTAATACTCTTAAATTAGATTTTGGTGAATATTCTACTAAATGTGATGAAAAGTATTTAAGAATATATTTAGAAAATTTTGAACAAAAAGATTTTAATGTTTTTTTAGATTAGATGGAAGATGATTCTATGAAATATTGTTAAATCTCTTTTAAATTTTATAGAAATGTTAGAAATTCTGATATAATCCATGTTTTATTTTATAAAAACAAACTAAGATTTTTATCTATAGATTTTGAAGAAATAATAATATAAGCAAGAAGTGAAACATTTTATTCAGATGAAGAATAATAATAAGCTAAATAAATTTAATCTTTATAAAACAATTTTGTTTCAGCACTTTATTTTTTAGGTCCAGGAACCATTGTATTAGGAGGATTTAACTTTTTTTTTAGTATTTTAGATATTTTAGCATGGCTTAATAATTTTTATTATTTCAATGTTATGTATCCAGCTAATGTTAATATCATATTTCTAAATCCAGCATGGGAATTAATAAATCCTTTTGATTATACTCTAATAGTTAGAAAAGAAACTGATTTAGATTATATTGAAAGTCCTATTAGATTTGAATAAAAGGGAGTTGATCCTTACTTTCTTAATAATATGATGATGTGCTTTGTAACTTGGTTTCTATGTGCTAGTCTTTACCCTATTTGTAAATTTGTTATTTTAATTATTGAAAGAATCTATCAAAGAAGTCCTAAATAAAAAATAAAAATTGTTCAAATGAAATAAATGCCTATTTTTCATTTGGATTAAAATATATAAAATTAATAAGCAGAAACTCAGATAAAATTAGAATAACCTGAAAAGTTTCCATCTTTGGTTCAATATTTGTATGATAATGCATTTCAATACTAAATTAGTTTTAGAGCTATCATAATTAAATAATTAAATTTAGTTTATCTAGATTTGTGCATGGCAAGTATTCTTTAATTATAATTTATGGACAAAAAAGAATAACCATTAATTTTTTTTTAAATATTCCTGTCATTTATTGGATTATTTATTTGTATTTCAATATTTTTTATTGCTATAAGGGTTTCTAAATAATCTAGTATATTATTAAAAACAAAATCTTATTAATTTATTTATGGCACATTATATGAAGGAATCGATGTTAAATCTGACATATCAAAAATGTACTTTAGTATAAGTTTTGCAAGAAAAATGCTTTTTATTATATTTTTAGTAAGTTTATACAATTATCCACTTTTATAAACATCATTTTGTTGTGCTGCTAGTTTTTTGAATTTGATATTATTAATCTACAAAAATCCTTTCGAAAGTAAAGTTTAATATATTTAAAATGCAATTCCAGATGGAACTATTTTTTTTGTTTTAATACTATGTGTAGTTTTAGCATTTGATGATTAAGAATAAAAATATTCTTCTCAAACAAGAACTAACATTGGTTGGGCTATGTTAAGTTTTATATGTTTATCAGTGTTAACATAATTAGGATTAATTTTAAGATAATTAATAATAGATATTAAAGAAAATTATTAATGGATCAAAAATAAATTATGCAAAACTTGATTGGTTCTTATTTTTTTTTAGTTTTTTTGTATGTAACAAAATAAAAATGATTATTTTTTAATATTTTAATTTATTTTATTTAAATAAATGTAGGAATATTATTTTAGTATATAAATTTAAATTTGAAGTTCAATTACATGAGCAGAAGTAAAATTATTTTGTAAATAAGAAAAGAGAGTTTCTTGGTTTTTTGAAAGTTAAGCTGAACCAAAAGAAGAATAAAATTAATCTTCTTAACAAGTTAACACTATTGAAGAGTAAAAATAAGATTAAAAAAATTAATAATCCCATCCAATTTAGATGATCGCTTAAACCATGCCTATAATATAATAAGATTTCGAGAATAATAGGACTAGAAAAGTTTCATTTATTCCATTTGTAGGTAATAGAGTTGGTGAATCCACTCCACCAAAATTAAGTACAATTTATGAAGAATAACCAAGTTCAAAAAAATAAGAACCTTAATAAAATAAGATTCCATAAATATAATAAACCTAGCTTCATTAATCAACTTAAAAATAACCAACTGTTTAAACTTAAATTATTTAAACACCATAATAATAACCATATCGTACACCTAAGGCAATTCAAATTGAAGAAAATAGTGTAAAATAATCCTATAGAAAAAATGTAAAACCAATCGAAATTGATATTGCAAAAGAACTCTAGTAATTAACTTAATTGGCTGAAATGAATGATGCCACTTTAAAAAGAGTGACAACTAGAGAAGAATAAGAAATCTTAATTATTTAAGATATATTGACTTAAAAAATAAGCAAACTTCAATAGAAGTTAATTTAATTAAATGAAATTGAATAGAAATAACTTGATTTAAGGATGAATAATAACACTAAACTTAATTAATAACAAGAAAAAGAAAATTACACAGAAAATCAACCAGACGAACCAATCAAACAAGTATAAAAAGGAACATCTTAATAAATTAGAGCCATATTAATTGATTGTCTTGGCTATAGAGTTAATAATATCTATTATGATAAAAAATAATATTTTATAACATTCACCTATAAATAGGCTAATGTTTAATACGCATTTTAGAATTCAAAATAGATAGACGGAACTCCAGAAATTTTAGATATTTTTAATGAATTCTATAAAGAATTATAAGAAAATAGATTAGTTTTATCAGGTTTGAAGGTTGATTACAAATAAAAACAAGATATAAATAAAGGTGAAATCTTGTAATTATCATTAAAACATTAATTTTAAAATACTAACAAAATGGCTAATGAGATTATATTTTCTGCTATCCATTAAATGCCAATATTGTTATAAAAAGTTGATGAATTAGAGTATTAATTGCTTTAAAATAATAAAATTTGGGGAACTTTATGGAAACTTGATCCAGAAAAAGGATCGATTTTGATTTTATTCAGTCATAGGAGTAGATTAGATGATAAAAATTTATAATAAAATTCAAAAAAGAGACTTTTAAGATTTGAAATAAATTTAAGAACATTCGAAATTCAATATTAATTTTTCAAATATTTTGATGAAATAATTTCTCCATTCATATAAAAAGATTCTAAAAGAAAAAGAAGTGCTTAAGAAATCTCTTTTGGTGAGAGAATAGAAGGCTTGGTAAATGATGAATAATCAGAATCTATTTAAGATTTTTTATCGAGGAAACCGAATTTATAAGAACTCGTTGAGTGGTTGAACATTATATAACTAAATTGAAATTGCATGTTATTCATTAAATAAAATTTATATTAATGCTCAATGCTTCTGAATAAGCTGCCACATCTACTTTAAATGATAAACTAGAAGATTTAAAAAAAATCATGAAGTAATACTCAAAATATACTTCTGATTCATAATATGAATTTGAGTAACATTTTAAGAAATATGGATCATTTAATAAATAATACTCCTAATAGATTTCATTATCAATTAATGATCCAATAAGTCTAGGTATTTTAACTTAATGTATTTCAAGGATAAAACTTGATTGAATTCATTTAGTTATTTGAATTGATCTCAAAAACGACACTTTCATAATTTTCAGAATTTTCGACATTCTTTTCTTAAAGTATAGAGTAATATAAGGAGAAGATGAATATTTTTACCAAAATAATAACAGATGGTAATTTCTAATAATCTCAATAACTTGCACAACATAGATAAAATTTTAAAAAAGCCAAAGATAAATATGAAAAACTATGCAAAGATATTGATATGACATTGAATTCTAGTAAGAAAATCTCTGTTGATGTTTCAACTGGATATGATCTCAATCTATCCTAAAAGAATGATTAAAAATTAAAAGAGCTTGTTAAATAAGTGGAAATTGCAGAATAGTAATACAAAGAGATTTTTGATACTTTAATTATTAAAACAAAAGACTTTAATTAAGCTATTTAAGATTCTCGATAGTAATTGATCTAAGCTCATTAATTGACCTATTCAAGATTTGTTGAAATTACAATCAAATTTGATTAGCATAAATTAGCTGCAAATTGTTGGATCAAAAACTAAATGGTTGAAAAATAAGAAAAAATTTTAATCATCCAAAAATATGAATAAGAAATCGAAGATCGAATAATCACATCTAAATATGAATAGGATAATTCATTTAAATATATTAATATTATGGGTAAAATTATAGAAAAAAAACCAATATCAGATATAGAATATTTGATGTTTCCAGATATTTTACATAAACATATTGATGCTTAATTGTCTTTAATTAATGATAGACTTAAAAATTTAAAAACTCTATCACTTTATCTTACAGAAATGTCTAATTAAATTGATACAATATCAAAAAATCTATAAAAATCAATAAAGTCAACATTATAATTTATTTAAGTAAATAATGTAATCATTCATGTAGGATAAATCAGACAAAGATAAATCGAATTTTATAAAGCCCATTCTTTAGGTTTAGGAACTTTTAGTTAAGTAAAATGATTAATATTCGAAAAAGTATAATTAATAATCATAATTTATTTTACTCAAAGCTTAATGCTTAGATTAATTAATAAAAGAACAAAAAAATTAAGAAAAAAGTTTTTTAAATATGTATTAAAAAATGTTAAAAGATTTTTAAGCACTTAAATAATAAATTTTAGAAAATGAATAAAAACCAGCAATAAAAGAAAATTTAATATAATAATTAAAAAAATCTATTTAAGATAATTTTAATATTATTAAAAACTCAGTAGATTTAGTAAGAGCTAATGAATTTACAAGATCAAATTAAATTATTTAAACATTAGAATAAATTATTATTCATTATAGTTCATTTCTAGATGAAGTCATATCTTATACAAAATAGTAGGAAGAAATCTTAAATTAAATTTAAGAAAAAATATAATAAGTAGATTATGAAAATATGATAAACATTAAACTTGATTAATAAGAGTTAAAATTTCAAAAGATATTTGAGATGACTGATGAAATAAAATCTAAAATTGAAACAGCTACATTGCTTTAATAAGAAGAAAGTGAAAGTGACGATGTAAACTTGGAAGAAGGTTCTGTTAAAGTGTCTTAAAAACTAATTGAAAAATTTAGAATATTAGAAGGAGATAAGTGTATTGCCAGTTATGCATGTGCATTTGATAATAAAATTCTTTTGCAAGGTAGAATGTATATATTTTCATCCAAAGTTTGTTTTCATTCATATTTTAATGGCAAAGTATTTATTTTTTAAATAAAAAGACTCTTTTTGGGACTACTGCATTAGGTATTCCTTCGATAGAAATACAAAGTATTAGAAGAATTAAAGCCTATATGGTAGACGCTGCCATAGAATTTAAAACATTGAAAGGAAATTTAGTATTTGCCAGTTTAGCCAACAGAGAAAGGACTTTGTATAGTTTGAAATAAGTAAAAGGATTAGAATAAGGAGTTATTGAAGAAAAACTAGATGAAGAAAGAAACATACAACAGGTTTATATAGAAGCATAACAATTATCTAAACCTCAGGATAAATAATAAGGAATTAGAAGTCCTTCACCAAAACCATAAAATATTTCTTTAGAACCTCTAAATGTGAAAAATATAGATTTATAAAATGATAAAAGTCCTAAAAATATAAATTTTTAATCATAATAATAATAACCACAACAATAATAATAAACACAACAACAATAATAATCTATAGTTTAATCATAATAACAACAAATATAATAATAATAACAATAATAATAATAACAATAATAGTAATAATAATAATAATAACAATAATAATAATAACAATAATAATAATAACAATAATAATCAATAGTTTAATCATAAGAAATTCCTTAAATTAAAATTCTTGAGCCAATTCAGCAGTTTGAAGATAAAAAATCAACAAATGAACCAAATTCTCAGAACTAATAAAATGAAGAAGTAAATAAAATAGAAACAATTGAAAAAAACGAATCTCAATCTTTGATAATAAATACAGAATATAAAGAATTGTCTAATCCTGCCTTACCTTAAGTTTAATTTCAAACAGAATAAAACAATAGTTCAAATGATCTTTTTAATGAAATAATGGTTTAGAATAAATAAAATAGATTTATGAATTAACCTACAATAGCAAAATTTAAAACCTAATTAAAGGTAACTGTAAAAGAGTTTATAGATTACTTTTTATTAGATACTCCTTATGATAATTTTTTATCATTTCCTCATTATTATTAAGTTGTTTTATGTTAAGATAGGGAAATTGATTTTAAAAAATATTAACCTGAACCATAAATTGGTCATATTTCAAAAAGACCAATAAAATTTATTCATCCAGTAAAAGAAAAATAACTTTTTGCTCCAGATGTAGTTCATTGTTTTGCAGAAGATATTTTATATTATTTTAATCAAGATGAAGTTTTAATAGAAAAAGATGTAAAATTTGCTAAAATACCTTATGCCGACAGTTTTTGTTGTAGAGTTTTTTGGCATATTCATTAAATTGATGGAGGATGTTAAGTAAATTATGGATTTTATATTCATTTTTTAAAATCAACTGTTTTTAAAAGTAAAATTGAAAATGGTAGTAAAAAAGAAAACACTGATGTTTGGGAAAAGTGTTTAAAATAAGTATATGAGGAAGGGTAAAATAAAATAATAATGAAAAGAGCTTAAAATGAACGAAAATAACAAAAAACAGAAGAAGAAATTAAAATATAAGAATTGGAAATTAATGAATCGAAAGAATCATAAGTTGAAACAGTTGTATCATAAAAATCAAAATAAGAAACTGAATAGTTAATTCTTGAGCAATTATAACAAAAATCTTAAATTATCGAAGATAAGGATTAAAATTAACAATAAAATTTAGAATAAAATTTAGAATAAAATTTAGAATAAAATTTAGAATTAAATTCAGAATTAAATTAATAATAAAATTAATAATATATTATAAAAAATAGAGAATAGGTAAAAAAATAACAATCAGAATCTGTATCATTTGAAGTTAATTGCAAACTAGATAAGTTGACTCAATTATTCTATGTAATGATTGGGCTTCTAATTATTAATATTTTGCTAACTATTGGAAAATGATTCTATGAATAACAAATAATTAATTAATAATTAATATATATTAATATTTATTATAATTAAAAATGTCATATAAACCCAGACCAGAAAATAAGTTAAAATAAGATTAATTTACAAAAGAAATTAAACCTAATAACTTACCAAACAATATTCTAAATATTAGTAATAGTTAAGAAATTTATTTTAATACAAAAGGCTATTATTAGGATTTATATTTGAGAATTTAGGGTTAAAAAATTTAGGTATTTCTTTTTTTTATTCTTAGTTGGAAGGCATTTTAGTAAAAAGCTTAAAAATTTTAGATGAGGAATAGCAAAAATAATAATATGAAGGGATAATTTGAATTTTTATTTTATATGTAATTTTTAATATTCGTTAGTATTATTATTTTTAATAAAATTTATAAATCAAAAAGATTCGAATAAATTTCTAAAAAAGATTAGCATACAAATGAGATAATCCTCTGGATAATCTGGATAAGGAAATATTTAATTTTTAAAGGTCTCAAACTTTTTAAAAATAATGATTAATAAATTAAACGGACCTAGTTTTATGCATTCTTCTTTTATCATATTTTAATTTTATTTATTAGAAGTGAAATCGTATCAGATTCTCAGTAAAAAATTATCACTTTGATAAGTATGGAATTTAATATTCATAGAATGCGTATATTATTCTTATTAATTTAAAAAAAAAATTTATTATTATTTGCGTTACCTCTAAGCAATTGTTTGTCCTAAACATAATTTATTTCATGAAAAATCTTGATAATTATTCTCAAACTTGACATGCTTACAATTTTAATGGTGAATTTATTTAAATAATTTAGTTCGACATCGCATTTGAGAAAGTTAAAGAACACGATTTTTCATGATTAATGCTTTATATTTAATTAGCATATATAATATTAAATACTATATTGAAAGGATTTTAGATCTATGATATAGTATTATTTTATTAATAAACGTCCTGTTGATTAGCTCTCAATAAATCTTTTTTATTATCATTAATATTTGTACTTGACGATGAGTGAGCAGCATATTTAAAAAGATCAACTTAAAAGAAGAAATAAGAGCATAATAAAAAAAGCTTGGAACAATTTTGAAGACAGATAACTTAAAACTGCTATAAGATTGTGTGGAATGAATTGGATTCAAATAGCTTCATATGTACATGATAGAAATCCTAATCAATGTGCTTAGAGATGGAAAAGACTGAAGGGGAAAAGGGTAATTTTTTTCTATTACCTTTAGAGTAGAACTAATCAATTCTGGAAAAAATCAGAAGATGAATAATTGATGTATCTTGTTCAATAATTTGGAAAAAAATGGTCCAAAATAGCCCAGATTATCCAATTTAGAAATAGCAAGCAATGTAGAGATCGATACATCAATGTGCTTGATCCAGATCTCAAAACTGAAAGCTTTTCATAAGAAGAAGATTAAATAATTTATGAATAGTACTTAAGGTTTGGTTCTAAGTGGTCCTATATATCTAAATAACTTGAGGGTAGATCGGTAAATTTTTTATATATATTTCAGCAAAATTAAGTCAAAAACAGATTCTATAGTCACATAAGAAGTAATTACTTATAGATCTAAAATCCATACTATTTAAAACAAACATCATTAGTGTCATAATAAATACTTTAAGAAACAAGAGAAGAACATTTAAGAAAAATGGAATATTTATAAAAAAAAATAATCATTTTAGATCAAAGTCCATCTGATAATTAAGATTCTTTCAACTTTTAATATGTACCAAACTATTTTTATCAAAACATGAATTTAGAAGACCCAAGTATGATGTTAGAAGACTAATTTTGAATAATGAATGAAATTTATAATTAAAAAAGTAAAATTATATGATATTTTCTTAATTATTAATATAAAATAAATTAATTTGTTAATAGCTTTAAGCTCTTAAATATATTTTTATTTAATGATAAGCACGCCTTTTTAAAAGAGTATCAAGTGATATTTTTTTTAATTAAAAAAAACTTAATTCAAACTTTTCTAAAAATTTGTTTGCTTTCCATAATTTTTTTTATTAAATAGTTATAGAAGTAATTTAATCATTTATTTTATGCTAAGATAAGTAAAAATTATTGATAATTCTTCTTTAGATTTTTATATCACCTAGTTTTAAAGAGTGACACTTTTTGATTTTTTGTTGGAATTGGAAATATTCAAAAATAATTATATATTTTTTTTTTAAAAACTCTATTTTTATCAGCAGTTCAAGAATATTCTTTCTTTTTTAATTATACTTTTCCAATAATTTGCGCTGTATATTTTAAAAATATATTTGTCATTGAAAATATAAGAATCATTCATTAATCATTATCTGTTGGAATTTAAAATTAAAAGTACTTGTTTATTCAAAAATTATTAGAAATTTAACATTTATTAGTACAAAAGAAGGGACTTCTAATATAGTTTAAATTCAATACGTAAGTCTTAGATTACCAAATCTATATAAGTTGACCGTGTAAAATAATATGTGACAAAAAAATTCACAATTAAAAAATTAATGTGGACCTTGACATAACACATTTAAAAAAATAAAAGAATAATTAATAAAATTTGGATTTGCAAAGAAAGATGATGATCTAAAAAATGATTGATAATTGAGAAATATTAGATAGATTGTTAAAAAAGTTAAAACTTAGAATAAGAAATATAATTATAAATTATAACATAAAATAAGAAATATTATGTTTTTTTTTCAAAAAAATTGTAAATGCATTAAGAGAAAGAGCATCTAACTAAAATGAGTGAAATTAAAACCAGAGAAATTATTAAATAACAGAATTTTTTAATTCTCTTAACTTTTTATAATAAAATTAAGATCAATTTTGGCATAAGCAATTATAT